GATTCAATTGATATCACTACGATCAATTTCGAGTAAATTTGTAAATGTAATTTAACAAGTCCAGGGTTAATTTCTATAAAGTTTGCAAGTGACAATATTTAAATTAAACCCGTTTGTTTTAGCGAAATACCATTGAACAATGACCGTGCTCGTAATTACATCCGTTTTATATTGTCATTGATTCATAAAGTTATAACCTCGGAAGTTTCTGGTAAACCCTGTTTAAGAATATTGGTTAGTACTAGAATTTAGCAGTAATTTAGATTTAAGTTTTTTGGATTTAACCCCTTAATCATAAATAGTATTAGTAATATACCAAGTGATATTGGACCAATATGCAATTAAATTTATTTTAATCGTATTTTATTAACGTTAATACAAATGTTACTTTTGTATTTTTAATTTAATTCATAAACAGTATCAATTCCTTTTTATATATGAATGAAATGACAATAATGGGCCAGCCCAGTTAACGGGTGATACTCGGAAAATATATAAATTGAACTTGAAGAGTTCAACTTGGTGCGCGTCTTGTGTATTGTACATATAATTATACGTGAGAGGAGCGAGCAATAGACTTATAATATCAAATATAAGGTATACTTATACAATAGTTTATAATTAAACTAGACTAACAAGTAACAATGAACAAGCTAGGTAAGTTGTAGGTTATTTGTAGTTTATTGGTAATGTGCGACTGTGAGCGTGCTAAATCACCGTATTATATATCATTTATACTACACTCGATCTTCGAGATTTTTCTAAAAGAGCGGCCCCCTTGTCACACGTTTTAGACCTGCCGCGCACGAGTGCGCAGCTGTATCGTTGATCGTGGCTTTCGCCACGATCAACGATACTTAGTGCGGTTCACAGTTGAAACTTTAAAATTAAACTTGAATCGATTAAATTTCGAACGCTGATTCCGAATATAATTACTCCCATGACATATATAACACATAATACAAAAAAGGGTTAAATTGCTCCCTTAGCAAAATATTTGATATTGGCGAAAAACTGTCTCGATCACCAATCACGTGATATGCCTATACACTATAATTATACGCTCCTACTAAATCGCCCGCCCAAATTTTAAGAAAATTCTTGACACACGCTGTAACCCCTTTGGCCGGCGTGCACGCTTCGCGTGCACGAGAGGTATACAACGTGTAGCAAGAAAATTCTTGTGAAAAGGCCCTTTGGATATGAAATTGATATGAATCGGTGTATTTTTAGACGCTGATTCCGAATCAACCCCCATGACGTAGGGTAAAAATGCTTTCCTAGAGAGTTATGGGCAAAAAACCGTTTTGGTCACGTGACAGGCTATTAGTAGCTAGTATAGTAGCGCGTATAGTATAGTAGCTAGTATAGTATAGTAGCGCGCCCGCCTCCCGGTGGTAAAAACATGAATTCGATTGTTTATGGCTCGGATTAGGATTAGGGTTGTGGTAAGGGTTATGGATAGCTTTGGGGTTATGGTTAGGGTTAGGATTAGGGTTTATGTAAAACCGTTTTGTACGGCTGCAAAACCATAAAAACCAAAGTCACGTGGAATTTTTGGGCGAGCGAATTAGTTGCTCTAACCAGAGCCCTTTGATTTCGCTTGCAGTAGTGCGGTGCGACCGCCGAAGCGCGTCACGCAGTACGCGCGTTAACGCGTATACAGTTACACATGGCTATTTGAAGCGAATTAGTAAGCACAATAATTATATAAATGATAATCATAAAGAATTCAGCAATCTTCGGCCTTCGCAGTTCGCGTACTATAACCAATAAATACATTGAAGCAAAGCTGAGCTAAATAGATTTAATAGACCTATTTTAGTTTTTTTGCTCAAACATGCCGTACATCAAAAAACTTAAAAAGTAGATTTATGAATTTTCCATTTTACGGAGAAGAATTACTTAGCTTGCAAGTTTATTGCTTTGTGCTCGCTTTTCTCATGTTCAGGAAGCTTGAAAAATCACCGTGCACAAAGATTGGCGTGCCTGGTAAAATAAAACTTACTTGGCTCACTTGCTTTATCCAGAGCTCTTGCGCTTGCAGTGGCGCCCGCCCGCCTCCCGGCGGTAAAACGTTTGCTCTATCCAGAGCCCTTGCGCTTGCAGTAGCGCGCGCCCGCCTCACGGCGGTAAAAGGCTTTTCTTGACTTCAGACTTGTGAAACAAGCGCGCCCGCAGTGGCGCGAAAGCACATGGTTAGGTGAAGTAAAACTTGTAAAACTTGTATCACGTTGCAACCCCCACGGTCGTTTCACTTTATCGTCCTGACGATACATGGGGAGCCGCGCACTGCGCGGCGGGTCATACAACGTATGACAAGGTAAAACAAGCGCGCCCGCAGCTGCGCGAAAGCACATGGTTAGGTGAATTGGCTCACAAATCCTTGTGCGCGCAGCGGCGACCTCATTTCAAGCTTCATATACGTGATATGATCGATCAGAGAAGCGAGCAATAAACTCAAAATTTAGGTAAAGAAAAACTAAATGTTATCAGTTTACTTTTTATATAGTATATATAGAAGTGCATTTAAATTATGCTTCTATGTACCAATACCATACCCTCACAGCATTATATTATCTTTATTGATACTAACATATTTCACTATCATCTGTATACACAATACATTAAATTCGAATAATCGATAGATTTTTTAGATTCAAACGCAAATGCCGGCCTTGTAATGTCAGTATGTTACTAACTAGAAAGTTGCTCTAACTAAATCGGTAGCCCTTGCGCTTGCAGTATCGAGCGCCCGCCTTAAGCCTTTTAGTGGTACTTGTGAAACAAGCGCGCCCGCAGAGGCGCAAAAGCACATGGTTAGGTAAAACTAGAAAGCATCTGTCCAATTTATCGTTTATTATTTCGGATGATGTTGAATATGATAATTTTATCTATGTGTGGGACGTTTTAGAGAAGTATGATGTTCTACTGTAATGTCTGTCACGTTTTTTCAAGACGTTGTACCCCGAAAACCGCAAAATGTGTACCCATAATCTCTTTATTATAGTTTGAAAAACGTCTAAAGTACATATATGATGCAAGAAACAGTTAGCTTGGCCACTCTGGACAGCCACAAAGCCTAAAATTTGCTATAGCATGTAATGTCAGTCACAAAAAATGCCCACATGTGTATCCATATCCACCAGCGTATAACAAAATGGTAAACAGATCATATGAATGGTATCTTGGATAGATCAATCCAGTAGAAAACTCCTTGGAACTGAGCAAGAGACTGTCAACCTAAGTAACGAATACAAGCGTATGTAGGCCACAATACAATACAATAAAATCGTCAAATAGATCCGTGGACTAATTCGCTTATAACAAGATGGTAAACAGATCATATGAATGGTATCTTGGATAGAACAATCCAGTAAATAACTCGTTGCATTACCAGTCAAAGAAGGTCACGGAATTTACAAACTAAGTTTGATGTCTGACCTAGAGTACAAATACTCCTGCCATGCAACATCAAATCTTATAGAAGAAATATACAGTCAACACCCAGACTTTTGTGACGACCAGAAAAAAGATTGGATGATAATGAAAATCTTAAAATAACTGGCTACAAGACCATAATCCGAAAATGAAGAATAGAGTTTTTCAAGGAGAAAAAGGTTAAAGAACTGGACGAAACACAATAACTGTAGTTAGATCTTACATCAAAAAAGTGGAAAGTTCCTGGCTTTCATCAGTCTCGCTTAAGTCATTTGGATTCTATCTCAACAAGCAAGAATTTGATACACCCTAGCCCTTGGCCTTAGGTACAGCTTTCAGAATAAAACAAATATTCAGAATAAAACAAATATTATATTCAAATCTCTTTATTCAACAATATTAAATCATTATAGAACCTAATTTGTGGCTTGATTGTTATGTTAGGGCTATTCTGTTAGCTGATGCTGACAGGCACTGCATGGGGCAGAGACTTAGGACCATTACGCTGGAGGCTTACAATGACCCTTTTTGAACCCCATGGCAGTGCTAGTTTTATTATGGCTTTGACATTAAATATTCTGCAATAAATGTGTTTGTGGAAGTGACAACTCAATAAATCACTAATTAATATGAAAATAGGTGGATATGTATCTTGAGAGATGTGCTAGTATAGCTCTTACAAACTGCTGTAACCACCAATCCACTCTTTCTTCCTGTCTACTCGACAAAATCGATGAACCCACACCCCCAATATTAGAGAATGCTCGAGACTTCTTATTCCAGAAAACAAATCTCCTAAAGAGCCCCATGTCCTATGCCTTTACATTTGGAAAAGACAAATTGAGGTGGAGCAAAATTAGAATGTTTTCCGTCGTCAGAGGCGGTCACATGGATGTATGTGGAGCCTGGAGGGGGTTGTTTAAAACATATAAGTGATACAAAATATTTATTAAGCAGGAGCTTCCAAAATACTTGTGTAAATCGTCTGTGTGGAGCAGGTCCCTGATGACAAACAGGTTTGTTAGGCTCGGTACGTAGCTCCTGTATCTACCACTCAATTCAAGAGTGCTTCTGATCCGGCTGGGAATCTAAAGTTCAAAGTAGTTCAGATGATCATAGCTTTATAGTCATTCGGCCTTCTCTTAGTGTATGGGCCTTAGCTAAAAGATTGGCAGTCGAAGCACGCTGGCTAGTGCATGTGTTTTAACTTAATAAGGCATGATTTTATTGTAATCTGTGCAATCTATTAGCCCCAAACTATATTAATCATTGTTGTTTTATAAATACTATCAAGCTGAATTGTTTGTAAAGTTGTTTTGAAAGCTCTAATTCATAACAGACTTACTTTGTTTTATTAATGTGATCAACTGTTTAGTATTATAGTGACTGGATCTAAAGATTCACCAATTATATTCCATGGTGTAACAACAGTCAACACTGAATTATTTATCTATTCCAATATTTCAATGTTTTGTCAAACTATAAAAACTTGAAGAATTATACACTGAGTTTTACAATTCAGCTTGCCAATAAATTATGCAAAATAAATATCATAAATTTATAAACAATACATTTTCAGCATGTCATGATTTAAAGAGCTAATGAAAACTAAGATTGTAAACAAAAGTCACGTGGTCTCATAATGTCTGAGAGAGGAAGTTCTGAAGCAGTTTCTGAAAATGAGGTAAGATTTCTGCTTTCTATAAATCACTCCTGATCACATAACTCATTAATCACATTTTGACATGCACGGAACACTTCATACATTTCATATGCAGACATTTCAAATTAAATGAATCACAGATAATTTGATTAAATGTTCATGAAATCAGGTACATTAATTGAATGTTTTGAAGCAGTATACGTCATGTATAATGATAATATTTGAATGAATTTCGTCTCCAAAGCTGAAGACAAATTCATTAACTCAAATATGGTTAGATTTGATATCAAAGATTATTTGAATGCAGTATTGTCCGTGTTAATTCTTTATCAAGCGAAGGCTCAGTAAATGTGTGTTACATGTAATGCTAATAATTGATTATACCCCTACATACAAGGGGGTATGGAGGGGGTTTACTCGTATTTCAGTTCTAAATTATAAGCTCTTATCTCGCATAATACTGGGTGTTACTAACACATTTAGTTGCCATGGTAACGCTCGTTTGCTCAGTCGCACCTTGTGAAGTCCCCTTTGTATCGTGTTTTGCTAGCTGGATTATCATTCCTTAAAATAAATAATATCGTATAGTTGTTATTATTACCGCACTACTAAAATCATTGTGTCAAACCGATATCAACACTCGTTATAGTAAATACCGTTCGTAAATCACTGTTGTCTTAAAAATTCAGAATGAAATGACCCATACTCAATATCATTGGTGGTCTCCAAAATAAATGTATCCGTCCGTAATATTTTAAAACTTTGAAACATTTCAGAAGAGCTAATGTTGGAGGTAGTGGTAATATTTACCGGTCGAATATTCAGGTACAAAGCTGAAACCTGCAAAACCTGTTTTTCACGCTATGCCAAACTGTCAAGCCTTGTCGACAATGCTGATCTTCTTTTAGGCAGCTGTTTTTGAAGCACTCTGCATATTTTAGCTCACATTTTATTACGAATTTCAGGTCAATACAACTTCCTTCTAGATATTATGAAGCCCAGTCAGTTTTGAGAAAAATAACGAGTATTTAACAGATAATTAATTGGAATGTTTGACTGGTTAAGATCGTTCACATATTACTTAATATTACATAGTACTTAATATTACATATTAATTAAACCAGAGTTGCCCTTTTCAGACCCCCTCCCCCTTGAGTAAACCACTTTACATTTAGTTATTGCGTAGAAATTACACTAGCCTCAGCTTACGTTAATGTAATATAAGCTCACCTAATATCAACACATGATAAAATGTAACTTGGTTTTGGATGTAAGCCACTAGAAGCTCAGAAGAATTTGTTTATGAAAAGTTCCCAGCCTCACCAAAAAAGGCATACCTCGGTCTCAGCCAGAGCAGCTATTCATCGTTTTCCCTCGGCCTCAGCCTTGTAACCTACTCTGATCAGTTGATTGCTGATTAAATTGGCCATGTGGGGGATTATTTAGTGATGAGAATTCCAACAGTTTATATCAAAACAAGAGTAACTACAAGTTAAACAATCTCTCTCTCTCTCTCTCTCTCTCTCTCTCTCTCTCTCTCTCTCTCTCTCTCTCTCTCTCTCTCTCTCTCTCTCTCTCTCTCTCTCTCTCTCTCTCTCTCTCTCTCTCTCTCTCTCTCTCTCTCTCTCTCTCTCTCTCTCTCTCTCTCTCTCTCTCGGCTGAGTGCTAACACAGTTTTAACAATTAATGTAATTGCTTATCTCCATTATTCTGTCTATCATGTTTTTACACAAGCACACAAGAGAGAGGGAGCATATGTAATCCTCTATTCCGCTATACGCCAATAACTTTTACAATTCCGGAGATTACCCTTGCTTACTAATTCCTTATTTGTTACAACACACACCTTCAAAACTCTGCATAACATAAACTCTCTCTCTCTCTCTCTCTCTGCCGTTTTTTGTCCTTTCTTCTCTGTCGTGAGCTGCCTATGAAGCTGTGATGTATGCATATCTTTTAGTAAGTCGATTAAAGTTGATATAATCTATTGACGATAGTGCGAGACAGTTTCAATGAGAGGATTGAGTGCAATATATTGCTGTAGCACGGATCATCGGAAAGTAATACCATTATTGTCGTCAAATTTCCGAATTTTATAAAATCTTGAAGAGACGGGGAAAACTGTTGTGAGTAGGTTCGTTAACGCTTTAATGGGTACAGTGGAATTTTGCTCTCATAAATCAAATTGTAGTTTCACAGGCTTGATATCAATATTAGCCCACTCATTTTATCTTTTAAGAAAGAAAAAAACAATAAAACACTCATTCAGAGTGTTATTATGTTTCTCTAAGATTACATTCTAGATAATTCAATGATATATCTAGAGTACACAGAAGGATGCTGACGAACAGAAAGCAGAAAATGAGTTGATGGAAGTTGTTCTAAAAGCAAATCAGGTTCGCTATACCGATTAAGTAAGTATTAAGTTAGTTAAGTTTTAGTCACTGAACACAGATCAACCTCAGTTGAAAACAACTCACTGATAAAAACTGATAATAACAATCTTAACAGTATCATACAACAACCATCTGCAGGCATGTGAAGACGGTTTATTCACCCAAGCTATACACTTGTACTCAGAAGGTTTGCGCAGAGAACCCCAAAACGCCATGGTGTTCAGCAACCGCAGTGCAGCGTACCTCCACTCAAATGATCTCCGTGCTGCGCTGAGTGACGCTGATCGTGCCATCAGACTACAACCAACTTGGAGCAAGGTACTTGTTTGTTGTTTTTAACTCGACTCAGTCTTCTACTTGTCATACCATTCTCTCCATATTATCAGATCTCATTTGTAGTTAAATAATGAGTGGAATTTTGATGGAATAAAACTACCAGTGGAAGGTTTACTTATTTGCCACAAGTTATTGTGTTGTATCTGTTGTGTTGTGATCAGAATAGTGTGTATAGTGAGGAATAGTGAGTATATATAATAGTGAGGAATAGTGAGTATAGTGAGGAATAGTGAGTATAGTGAGGAATAGTGTGTATAGTGAGGAATAGTGTGTATATATAGTGAGGAATAGTGTGTATAGTGAGGAATAGTGTGTATAGTGAGGAATAGTGTGTATATATAGTGAGGAATAGTGTGTATAGTGAGGAATAGTGTGTATAGTTAGGAATAGTGTGTATATATAGTGAGGAATAGTGTGTATAGTGAGGAATAGTGTGTATAGTGAGTATAGTGAGGAATAGTGTGTATAGTGAGGAATAGTGAGTATAGTGAGGAATAGTGTGTATAGTGAGGAATAGTGTGTATAGTGAGGAATAGTGTGTATAGTTAGGAATAGTGTGTATATATAGTGAGGAATAGTGTGTATAGTGAGGAATAGTGAGTATAGTGAGGAATAGTGAGTATAGTGAGGAATAGTGTGTATAGTGAGGAATAGTGAGTATAGTGAGGAATAGTGTGTATAATGAGGAATAGTGTGTATATATAGTGAGGAATAGTGTGTATAGTGAGGAATAGTGTGTATAGTGAGGAATAGTGAGGAATAGTAGTGAGGAATAGTGTGTGATGTGAGGAGCTAGAATCATACTCATGACAATACATACACAGTGAGATGTCATTATATACTGCACTACTACACACATATCCTATTCCTTGTAATCACCCTCTTATTCGATAACTCATTAGTTTTAGGGGACTTTAATTAAATTTCCATGTCATCTTACAGTAACGTGTTCGTTACAACCATGTAATGTAAAAGATGTATCGCTTATCACGAATGATATCGGGAAGTGATATTAGCGGAACTAACTTTGAGGATCATTGACCGTCTTATTTTTTCAGGGCTACTTCAGGAAAGGACTGGCTTTGCAGAAACTCCAAGACTTTGATGGAAGTGTTATCAGTCTCGCTCAAGGACTCGCCTATGAAACTCAAAGCAGACAAATACTTTCAGCTATTGTCGAAACGATACTCCTCAGTAATTTAAGAGGTTTGTGTGATTGTGACGTTATACTCAGTCACCTGTAAATTAATTAAATTCCCGCATTGGAGTGTGGCAAATTGTTCACATAGAATATTCTATATTACCCATGTTAAAATAACGAATTATATCAGCGCGATCAAAATTTCTACTTTTAATTGCGCGCGATTGAAGATTTTACAGACATATCTGCGCGCACGTTACAACTTTTATCATTTTGTGTAGAATTTAGCGAAACACCTGTTGTTTTGAACATTCACGTGTACGTAACTCGCCAAATTAATAAATGCTTGTTCGCAAGTTACACCACAAAGAGTCTACATTCGTCAAGCATAGACATGAAGTATCTTTCAACATTTCTTTCATGCAATTTACAGCGCTCATTGAAAGTCAGATCTGCACTACAATCTGTTATAATTTCCGTACAATTACTTAAAACGGGTACGTAAAGATAGTTCGTTTGGTTTTGCCAGGTTAATACAGTAAAACCCTGATTAACCGCGCCTCAATTTATCGTGGCCATCTCCTTCCCGGACCTCCGTGGTAGATTGGGATATTAATGTTGTCTGTTTTACTGGAAGTACTGCAGCAGTGATGCTACAAACATTGAAACACTCGTGCAATTTTCATACATAATCGCATAATCAGTTCTTTCTCGTCGATAATTAAGTCATTATTAGGCACCACATTCCATGATCATAAGGTCCGTACACTGACTGTTACACCTCATCACTCCCGTCTTGAACCGCTTTCCATTTTAATTTAAATCGTTTTAGAAATTAACCCTTGTTAACTCCGCACTACACCCGCCTATTATATTTGAAAACATGTATAACATTGTCGTATGAAAGTAGGAACTTTCTCTGTAGTCCAAACAGACCCCAATCAGTGCCCCCTCCCCTAATAAGCTTACAGTATTACATGACAGCGAATCTTACCCGGCTTAACCTAATTATGATTCATGTTTGTACCTACGCTACATAATATGCAGTGATGGAAGAGAGAGCGAAGAGGGGAAAAAATAAGCCATTTTATGTCGCATTAGTGGTACAAAACCATCAATTAAACCACTAACCACCGACCGATTTAAAAAAATTTGCTTATTGGCTTCGTCAGAGTTTTGTCGGCACTATACCGAAAAAACCACTCCCATAACTCTTACCGTTTTTTTTGTTTGGGAAAGAGAGACACTCTACTCATGATTATGGGTTTTGGTTAAATTTGAATATACTTTAACATACTTTAATGTACTTGAAACTTTTTTCCTTTTTTTACTACAATCTACATCCTGTAAATTGAGGGAAAAGACAATTTCGTTTATAAAATATTCAGCTAATTTCTACACGTGATAGGAAGATATGACATTAGATATGATCATGAAATTAATCAAACATTAACGTACTTTAGTAAGACAGCTGAATTTTACAAACATTCAAAAAACTGTAATGTCGACGAATGACGATGAAATGTTATCGTCTCGTTGATGTCTACACGTGTAAAAATGCGTATTTGTGTGTGAGCGTCTTCACATCTGATTGGAATGGGCAAAATATTGTTTAGAATTATCTTCTGAAGTCCGTACCTACATTTGGAAGGCTGTGGATGTGATTGGTTCCATATACTTATAAAGAACGTGATATTTGGCCCTCGGATTTGAAGGAGAATGCACAAATTTGGTCCTCATATTTAAATAAAAATGCGTAATTTGTCGTGGAGAACTGAAAAAATCGCGATTTGTCGCGAGGATCTAAGAAAATCGAGATTTGTTGCGGCAAACGTCAAAAATCGCGATTAGTCGTGGAGAATGGGAAAAATCGCGATTGGTCGCGGAGAATGGGAAAAATCACGATTCCGCACGTGCCGCGATTTCCTTTTGACATTGATTAGTGGAGGTATGTGGGTGTAGACATCGCGAAAGCGCAAAATATGGGCGAGGTCAATTACGCAAAACTGTCCCATGCCCAGAAAGTCTAACCAAGCCGTTTCTGACGGGTCCCTAGAAATATTCCAACTCTCAAGCTTCGGGGCGGTAGTTGTATATATTTGGATGGGAATGTTACCAGATCCATGACTTACAGGCAAAATGAATGCCAGATCCATGACTAACTAAAAAAATTAATACATTTTCCATCTTATCTTTATTTAGGTAAAGATAATTTAATTATAACACATCTGTTCACGTTTCATGGCAAAAAACAGTACTGAGTTCTGATCATGAGTTTTAACATTAAGACTCATCAGAAGTCGTTCAACAGGTTTATATTTGCTCAAAATATTATTCTGGTTAAAAAATCCACAATCACCATATATTCAGGGGCCTAAAAACAATGTTAAAATTGAATTAGAGATCTGAAATTTTGCAGGGTGTCTAGACGTTGATAAAATCGATGTAATGACAATTTCTAGTTTCGGGAGTATCGGGAAGGGTTTTTTAACAGGATGTGTGTTATGGCGATTCATGATACGCTGGAAATTGAATTATATAAGACAAATCTAATTAGCAATGTTGAGATCAACATATTGAAAACTTAACGTTAACGTAATATGAACATGGAGCAATAGTTTACTCGGCAGATACAAAATAATGTGAAGAGCAGGGACTCCAACTCTTTTCAAAAAACCTAATAAATCCGGCCATCTTTTAAATCGGCCACAGCATATCTGGGCATAGATTGATTTTAAAATTAAATTGAATGTACATCATTCGTGCTCAATTATCCAACAATGTATTCTGTAATACGTCAAAGTTTATATTGTGTGACCAGTTGTCCAGTTTATGTAATCAGGTTAAAAGATTACTGGTCACACTAAGTATAAGGCCTGAGCCAACCCGTAAAACGTAAGTTCTACACTTTTCTTTTCGTTTAAATATCCGGGTCGTCTGGTCCTACTGGCGGATGATATCTTTCAGATAAAATTTGGATTTTAATAAGTTAAATGGGCAAAATGGCTGTGTCAATTCTCTGGAAAAGCATAAAAATTGAACCCGTTGTAGAATGAATAACAAGTTTGTCTTAAAATGATTAATTTTCAGAAGCGTGTAAAATTCATCACAAAATTTTACAGAATAATTGTCATATAAAAATCTACTTAAGAGGAAAAATCTACTCATCTGACCGTCTCTTGGAATCAGAGCAAAGGTTCTGCCGCTTTCACAAAACCTGTCCAGACTCCACTACGAGAAATACATCTCTTTAAAAAACTGCCAAACTAAATTTTCTACCTAAAGCATTAGCCTAAGTATGGCCACTGGAGCCGAATTTCGCCAATTAGGGCCGATAAGGTAATTTTTGTAATTAATAGTTGTGCAGTTAACTGCAACTAGGATTAATCACGGTTTCACGATATTTATATATTTATAAACCTTTTACTGGCCGTAACTATTGTATTCTCCCTTCCCCGTCTCCCCCTTTGTTAGTTTTAGAACTTCTTGATGGTGGCATTCTAAATTGACCCGGGTTAACTTAACCTAGTTAATGGTTATTAGTGACCTCATGGTTATTGGTTTCAGTAACGAGGTTTCAGGTATCACTTTTTAAAAGTGGTCCTGTTTTCCCTTCTGTGATCTACAAACATATACAAACATCATTTATTGAATATTGATGGGTTAGACGCTATCTTCCGCTTTAATGAAGATAATGTACATGTGATTTTTAATTAGCCGATTGATATAATTTGATATAAATTGATATAATTTGATATAAATTGATATAATTTGATATAAATTGATATAATTTTAATTTTATTTCTTTAAATCGAGCACCAAAACCATGTTTTAGAAAAGAAATTAAGCCTAGAACCTCCGTTTATTATTGAAATAGAATTCAAATGTAACTTACGAGACATATTTAAATGGTACGAAATCGGTCGGATCGGTTTCAGTATGTTAACTAATAGCTTTGGGGGATTTAAAAGTTGTCTTTTGAAAATAACCTGTGGTATTCCACAATCCACAGGGGTCAGTGTTAGGCCCCTGCTCTTTATTATTTTTATCAATGATTTGGCGAATGTATGTGAGTTAGCTAAATTTATCCTCTTTGCGGATGATTTAAACCTTTTTCCTCAAAATAAAGACCGGAATTTAAATGGGTTAATCATTAATTTCGAAAAATGCTGCTTCAAGTTTCAACATACGAAACCAATGTTCTTTCGTTTGAAATTATTAGCCTTGTTTAACTTATTTACATACTTTAATGGATGTATTGCAATGAGGCTATAATTTTAAATTATCTTTTTGATCATGATGTACCGTATCATCTTTTGTCAATTTCACTATTTAAAAAGAGATTTAAGAACCATTTGCTTCATATACAAAACCTAGGACTAAATGGGGATCATAGATGGTTACCATGTAATGACGATATCTTCTCAAATGTATCAATTTCCAAAAATAAGTTAGTTTCAACTAGGGAAATATAAATTGAAATTAATGTTTTGGGGACGTTTGTGTGTTTTTTGTGTGTTTTTGCTGTTGTGAGTATTTAAAACAAGTTGGGGACTATACTTGTAACGGTTAATAAGTGTATACGTCCTTATTAATGTTGCCTCCGGTTAACTAGACTGGCAATATTCACTTTTTTGTTTTAATTTTTACTTGAGATCTCATATCATAAAAATTTACCATCGTGATACAGGTATTGATTTACCTCTCTGCGGTGAGCCACCGCTTCCCTCCATCGCCATGTTTGAAGCTCTCTCATCAACTGTTAGTGTTTTACTTCAGAGGGGAGTAAGATATTTTATACTTTACAATTGTATAACAAATAGATTTTCTAATCGTGTAAATCGTGTCGTGTATTTAACAAAGATAACCACAAAGATGATTTAACATTCCTGATGTTACCAAGTACCGACTACCGACAATAGTTAATGTTTGTCTTGTTGTGGATTGTTATCAATCGCCAGCAAAAATGTGACCTAACTGATCAAATTACACCAAGAACCGAAATCACTATAACATTGCTGTGTGCCTGTTCATAGTAACGAGATTGTAGCTCTACTTGCTCAGATAAACAAAACGTGACCCCAAAAACGTGTATATGTAGTATGTACACACGTTTTACACTCTGTCATAATATTTACCGAACATGATTAAACTGAGCCATTCATTTTTGCGGAGATAAGACTTTTTTTGATAAGAAATAGGTTTGAATAAGAAAACAGGTTTGCTCAATTGCTACTGTATTGCTATTAGTGTTTTTACATTTACTCCATCGATATTTGTGTAGTTAATTTTTGATAAAATGCAGCAGCAGATAAAACAGGTTTGCTTAGTTGAAACTCTATTGCTATTAGTGTTTTTACATTTACTCCATGGATATTTGTGTAGCTGTTACTCAATTCAGTCAATTGCTATTAGTGGATTCTTATGACAAGCCTCAGTACAGGAGGGAAACTTTAACTACAGTTCGGTTCTACGTTACGAAGTTAAGAAACTTATATAATATAACAGATAGGGATTTGAAGTGGGATTTGAACGCACGCCCACATTCGTGGACCAGAATGCTCATTCGTACGAATTCAGGCGCCTTAGACCACTCGGCCATCCTGACATACTAATTATTGCAATTTTACTCTTTATAATTTAACGCTAAATAAAGCCTCGTCACTTCACCGTAACAGCCGTGTAGTCACTGGTCATGTGAGGGGGTCGAGTTATGAGTAGCTGTATTTTACGTTGCGATAATATTTTAATATAAGAACATCATGCTATTAATCCTGTGTAATCCTAGCAGGAACCCGTCTAACCCTAAACAATTTTGGGCACTAAAATTCTTATTCCTTGGACAATGTTTTATTTTTTCATGCTGATTTGAAGGCCATTAAGGCATTTGACCCAGTCAAAAAAGTTTCAGTTTTATATCTTTTACGGTTTTTGCGAATCGTCTCGCTGTATATATAGTAAGATTACATTTTTATAGTAAGATTACATTTTGCTATTAGTGGATTCTTATGACAAGCGTCAGGTTGGAAACTAAAGTTCGGTTCTACGTAACGAAGTTAAGAAACTTATATAATATAACAGATAACTCTGCTCACTCCGCTCACATATATACAGATAACTCTCTCACTCTGCATACAGATAACTCTGCTCACGGACCATAAGAAGACACTATTTCTCAGTAAAACTCTTTACCTTGACAAGAATAACTCTCCATTAATCCAGTAACAAGATAAACAAAAAGTATTTTATTTTATCTTATCTTATACAGAGAGTCCATTCTGATTTGTACGGAATTTATTTTGTCACGCTTGACGATATTGCACAGCAATTCTCTTTCTTCATGATGGGCACTTTCAAAAACTTCTGTCACGAAAAAGATTTAAAATTTGCCAGTTTTTTAGTATAATTTGGTGGATAATTTTTGGAACGAGATGAAACTCTAGGATATGGTGTGCAATACCCTAACCTTTACTTTCTGCCACTTTTTGTTTCGATTAAGGGCTAAATCTGGTGGATAAAAGTGAAACAGACCAATCCAGGTGGCCTTAAAACTGACTCCGCAAAAGGGATATTCCATCTAGAAACAGTTGTAGTTTCATGATAGAACACATCTAGGGTTTTAAAAGATTGATAAAAAAGCAAATTATCCCGTTTTTGTGATTTTATCCAAACGGCTCTAAAGGCTAAAAGGAAACATAGTTTTTGAAAGTACCCTCAATCTTGTAGAGCAATTATGAATTACTATCCCCGTATTCAAAACTTGGGAGCATGATTATACCAATTAACAGTACTTTTATGTGATTTGATTTGATTTGAAACTTTTACAAAATAGCAAATATACAAATGTACAGCAAATCGAACAAACATATAAAATGGGCCGAAATGTATAAATGCTATAAAGCGTGGGTCAGTGAAACAAGTACAGAGGACAACTTTTAAAACACGAGGTTTATGGCCGCCCAAAGTCTCAATAACGTCACCTCCACCTAGTAATAAAATTATGAAATATGAAGTGTGAAACAAATTATGAAATATGAAGTGTGAAACAAATTATGAAATATGAAGTGTGAAACAATCAAGAAATAGAGTATATAAATTATAAAATTGTCTCTCAAATACAGATAACGTCCGAAAAACTATTAAGATACACAATACTCATTCAAATACTGATCAGTGTCCGAGAGACATGAATTGCTTCATGGTGGTTTCTTATCACGGCTACAGACTTTCCCGTACCGGATGTAGTGGTCGAGATGAGTCTGTTCAGCCCTCTTCTTCTTCAGGTCGGTAACCAGATGTTTCCTCGTTGCTCGTTCTTCGCTAGATCTATCTGGACAGATCCATACATTTTTGTGGGTCTCAACTAGCCTCAGTCTTCCTGTTTTCATCAGAATCTGTTGAACCGCTGTTGAGCTTGGGACAGTGATCTTTACTGGTCGGATAGTCGTACTACCTGGCCTCTTCCTGCCGACTCTAGTCGCTTCGAAGTGAGGTTTCTCCCCAATCTCCTCCAGAACTGCGGTTACTAGCGCTGGAAGCTGTTCTTGCTCTTCTTCTTTCAACCCAAACACAATCAGGTTTTTGCTCCTGTCCTCCTCTGCAGCCACACTCTTGATCACCTTCTTCAGGATTTTACTGTTGCAGACCGTACCACTTGCACTGTTCTGTTGTACAGCTGCACTGTAGCTCTTAATCCCTGACTCCACCGTTGTTTGCACTGTCTCCTTGACCGACGTCTTAAACAACTGTAGTTCTTTGTCCTTCTGCACAAGCAGCTGGCCCTGCAGCCTGATCAACTTGTCCTTGTCTTCTAACGCTTCCGTCTTCAAGAAATATATGATCTCCTCCATTTGAGCCATCTGGCATTCATGCCGTTGAACGAGGTCTATTGCTTCCACAAGCCGAAGTGCCAGATGCTTTTTATAGACAGTTGGAGCCATAAATATTTCTCTGTCCATATCTCCACCAATATCTCTGTCGGCTATTTTCAGTTCTTTTCCCAGCGCAATGAACCACTTAGTACAACTGTCCTTCAATTTTGTCTGTTCATCATACTCGAATCCTTGAATTTGGTCCAGAGATTGGGTCACCTTACGATCATCCTCCATAGTGTACTTGTATAGGAATGTACAAGTACACACGCAAAGGCTAACTACGCGGTAGCAACAAACTGAACTTATCGCAATTTACAAAAGATAAGGGAGCTCGATAATTGTAACGTAAGCTACACTGACTACATTTTTTATTCGAAGATAATTAGTCGAATTAATCATCAGGCGAAACTGCAGAGCACGCAGTGTTTCAGAGTATGAATTTGAATATTGAAAAGTAACACATGTTCCTATTGATTACAACATTAACATCGACTGAATCTACTCAGAAATAATCAGAGCTTTATCTTGAAATAATTATAAAACGACTGAATCAGAATTAGGTTTTAAATGTATGGACAGTGAACACTGTACAGGATAGCTAGGGGCGAATGGAGGCCGGTTCACACTTCACAGGGATGGTCCTAAAAGCGAACCGCGTAGTATTTTAGTAATGAAGATAGTAGTGAGCCAATTATGGTTTTTAACCGTTCTAAAATTAACAGAAGGAAGAAATTACTTCACTCACTCTATGTCTACTTCTCGTATTTAAGTTTTGAATTATAAATGAGCTAAATTTCTCCTTTCCACAGTCATGTGACATTGCCAAATCTGATTGCAAATCAGGTGATCCATACATTGAAATTCCTCGGAAAAGTCAGGTTCCTGTTATTTACTAAGTTTAAAAGCAAGTTTATTACAAATTATTTAATTACGTAAATCTTGTTATCTGCGCTGATAACACCAGGACTTCCACCATTTTCAAATTAGTACTTTACTAGCGATTTCTAGTATCTACCTATGATCCGAATGAAATTATCTTTCGTATTTAGATAAGAGAGCAAATTCTGTGCCTGGCCCTAATTGGGTCTCTGGCCCCACACTTGACCCCTTTTTGAGCCTACTTGAATTCCTGAAAAGACAAAACTGGTTTCAATTAAACCTAATATCTTAATTGTGCCGGGCAACATCATGTATCCGGAGTATAGATAAGGTTACATGATCCAAATTACGTTTCCGCGGCCCGACATGACGCACAGCTGTTAATTGACAATACTATCCGGTTTTCATAACAAGTACTAAACTCCGGATTATAAACTGGCCCTTAAAAAGAGATGACAAGGGTAAGGATTATAATTTGTTTAGTGTCGGTCATGTAGTGACTGCTCTCCTCGGTGCTAAACTTTCTCAACTTTTAAGTCTATTGCTCGGACTTATCGTTGGCGAAGCCTTGACCCTTTCTTTTACTCGATGTCTGCTTGGACTTTAAATCTTACCTTGCCTCCTTCTTTTTTGACAATGTCTTTGTCCCTTTCAAAGGCCGCCTTCTAGTTCTATTCTGATTTTGTGTATTGCTCAGATATTGTTTCTGATTGGTTTCCTGAAGTTTTACTGAACATTTTACTTTATCAGGTTTATAGATTACTCAAAAACTATAAAATGGGGGATTATTCTACTTCATCTCATAGTTCTCCGTGCTACACATCTGAATGTGGTAGGTGTTGACTCCTACTATTGCTTATCTTAGATCTTAAATCAAAATTATTGGCATTTTATTTGTAAGGTTGGATGATTGGTTTGGTAAATTTATACCTAGAACAACCTAACAAAACGTCAGATTTTTTTTCGATTGACCCCATTTTTTTCAGAGTCAGAGTACGAGGACTGCAAAGGAATGTCAAAGAAAAAACAGCTCTTTATGATCGGACTCCTCATGGTCAACTCCCTGTGTCTCTGGATAACATTTGGGATTAGGAGCGGCTTCCTTCTGGGTTCCTTCGCTGAACACGACATCCCCAGTGGCATGGCAGGTCTGGTTGAGGGGAGCATGCTACTCGGCTATATCCTTACCTTCGTGTCCGGACTGGGTAACTTTCTGATGAGGAGATACAACAGCAGAATTTTACTGGCTGGCAACTCTGGAATCACCGCTCTCCTGACCCTGGCTACTGGAGTTGTCTATCTGGACCATCGCAACCTAACCGTCGTCATCGTCTCCATTGGGCTGAGGATACTCCAGGGCTGCTGCAGCTACTTCTCCTATGTTTTCCTCTTCGACACCTTCAGCGCTCAGTTCTCGGCCTTCTTCGACTTGGCGGTAGCTCTTAACGGTCTAGCTGGGTACGCTGGAATGGGCCTCAGTGTAACCATTGGCTGTGTCCTCTTCGACAAGCTGGGTTACGTTACCACCTTTGCTGTTGCCAGTGCTTTCTGCATGGTGCAGGCGCTTTTCATGCTGTTCCTACCTCCTACTCCTACTTACCTGTCGACCCAGAAACCAGAGAACAGGGGTGAAAATAAAGAAGAGGACAGTGTGAAGAAGGTGAACAAGTTGAGCTGGCTAACCATCATCCCTCTCATCGCCTCCCTCTTCATCAACCTGAACTTTGGATACTTGCAGGTTTGTGTGTTTTCATCTTCAATATTTTCTTCGGTACTTTTTAGTGGGGCAATACGATATTTTTAGTAATGTGAATAATACAATATTTGATTATAGTTTCAACAGTAGTCGAGAATTTCTAACCATCACTTTTATTCAGGTGACAATGACGGAGTTTATGCATGAGTCACTTGGAAAATCCTATTCTTTCGGAGGACTAGTTTTCTCTCTTTCCACAGTGGGTCTTATCCTTGGCAGCATATTCTCTGGGATAGTACTGCAGGAGAAACTCATCAAAGCTAACACTCAAATGCTGTTCGGAGCTATCCTGATGGTAATGGCTCTCCTGTTAGCATTCCCTCCCGCCTCTGTAGAATGGATTGCTGCCTTCTCCTCCTGGCCGGCAAGTCTGTTAGCAGGAGCTGGAGAATCATTGGTCACCCTAGCTGCCATCACCGCCATGTACGACGTACAGAGAGAAGTTCGCGGAGAAGTCACCCCAAAATGTGCAACGAACATTGCTGGAATGTGGGTGGTGGGCTACGCTGGTTTCTACTTTGGAGGGTCGGGGATGGCTGGTGCAGTTAAAGGACTCTTGTCATTCTACCACATGTCGCTGGTTATGGTGGGGTGCTGTGCACTTAGTGGTGTGATGTGTGTCCTGATTGGGTGCATCAACAGGAAGAAGTCAAGTGGAGAGAAAACCCCTCTGCTGTCTACGTGACCCTGAACTTTCGTCTTAAATCAAGACAAGAAACTTACTTGATACCTTAACTGGAAGATAAATAAGGAAATTTAAGGATTATGACTACTGCAAGTAAAGTGAATGCTAATAGATCGTAATGATTTTAGTGCTAGGATGATGTTAGTGCTAGTCTCATGCTTGTGCTAGTCTGTTAGATGATTTGAGGTGATGTTAATAACATTATTTGTATCAAATTTAGGCGACTGAAAGACATTGCAGAACACTTTTTGTTATTGAATTTTCTTGAGTTATATATATTCTTGAGTTATATATATTCTTGTATGATGTAAATCATATAAATTTCATCGTGAATGATATTGATTTAAACTTATTTTCTGGAATGAAAGTGATAAAGCCCAATGGCCTAGATCATTGTGTTAAACACAGTAGCAGTCAAACCCCTAAAGGGGTTTTTGTCTCCCCACAATAATTTTATTAGCTACATCAGAGCCGATGAAATTTATAAAACATATGCGAACCAGAAGTGGAAAAACCAGTTTTTAACAAAATAAGATAAGAGCAGACAATGTGGAATACCGGGTTTGACTGTAAGACTTCTCCAGATGAAAGCTGGATTTAATTTATCTGGTAAGATAATGATAAGTGCTACTGCGATTACGTAGAGTAATTTGATTACGTGACGTAATTTGATGTACATAGAGGTCGTCTGATATTTATTATGTTAATAACTACTTGGATGGCAAATTGCAGCTGCGCAATTAATATTATCTGGTTGTTTCACTTTCTAAACCTTTACCTGGACATACGTTCTACCAACTTACCGGATGGCTTGCTCCCTTAAAATTAATCGCTTAAATCTTTAAAAGTGAGAAGGAAATAACACAATTTTCGCGCGAAACTTGCACAAATGACAAACTTTGCACCATGCAGCTTCGACCTCGAGGAACACGAGATTGTCATAACTCATATTGCTTCGTAGAGTCATCGAACACAAATTCGGACTATTGAAAAGTGAATCCCCATTTAACGACAATTGAAACGTTATACTCACAACAGAAACGTTCGACGGAACACAGAAGCAGCTCCGAAAGCTGGGCTTGGATCAGAACCCCTTCGTAATGTTATCAGCTATTGGGCAGGAGCTTCTTTCTGCTGGGAAGTTCAAAACAGCACTCTCTGTTCTGAAGAGCGCTGAGCAGGTAATACTGTTATATTAGAACGGTAAGGGTACTATGAGAATAGTCAAGAGAGTTCCGCTTATTAGCTACTCGACAGTTTAAATTGGGACTTATATGGTTAATCGAATTCCCGTTCATACATATCTGATGAGTTTCACTCATGAATAAATTTCTCTGTACATCCCACATCTCCTTCAACAGTATCAAAACAGTTCCCTCCACGGGTGGCTTGCTATATTTATTAAAGTATTAAGCCCGCTGGAAATGATTTTGTCAGATGTTTAAGACTTATGCAGTACAGTTATACAAGTCAAATAAATCCCATTTGACGCTGAGCTAAAGCAGATGAAATAGACGTTAACTCACCACAGTTTTGTCGAAGCGAGGTAATCTTATTTTTTATCAGGTAAACACCGAGAATCTACGCTTGAAGGGATCCCTGATGTCTGCTCTCGCTTCAGCTCACTGGAAACTTGGTAAGTTAAATACGTAGGTTGATGGAATTTGATGGAATTTGAAAAAAAATACAAATTTAAATTAAAGAACGTATTAAATTGTGGATGACCGCAAAATGCCGAAACTAGTCGATTCACAAGCGGGTCGCCTCGAGATACGTCATTTTCGTGTCTACATGATAAATTATTACTAATGCTACTATACACAAATTAGTGAACGGTAGAACAGATTGAAGACTCGTTCATCACGTTATCTAGATAACACGAGCTATAAATTACCATGTTGTCTAGGTAATCAGAAGCAGGCTATTGGCTACATGGAAGAAGACCTGGAAATATGCCGTTCCCTAGGTGACCAACACGGCGAATGTAGAGTGATGGGTAACCTGGGAAACGCCCACTATACAACGCAACAGTACGACAGTGCCATTCAGTACCACAAAGATCAGCTGCTGCTCGCAACTGAGATTAAGAGCAGGAAGACTGCTGGTATGGCTCTGGGAAGTCTAGGCCATACTTACTCGGCCATAGGTTCGGATCCACTCACCGTTTAGATTAAAGCATCTTTATTGAAAAGAACTTTTAAAAGCTCAATTTTACCTACTGACAAGCTTGATTGTTCCGATTGAAATGTATTGAACCCTTAGGCGAACAAGACCAAGCCCTAGCGTGCCATGAGCAGTGCGTGGCTCTCGCACAGGAGATGGGCAACAAAGTCTCAGAGGCCGAGGAATATGGTAATGTTTTTTAATGTTTTGATGTCCGTTTTTATCACATTTTTATGCCGTTAAAAGTTATAACCTTTTGTGTCCTGCATTCCTGTATATATAATAGTGGTATCCACTACCGATAAGGCTGCCTATAATCTACAATACGGTAATGTTCGGCGATGTAAACAGACCAGTATTATCTTGTTTGGTGGTGATTGGCTCTCAATCGAACAGCGAGCCAAACACAGCACTGTCTATCATGTCAATTATACTGGTTTCTTCATACTGGTCAAAAGGCCACAAAGCCATCCAACCCAGCCAAAAAGGTTTCAATGGTATATCTCTCACGGTTTCCGCGGAAAGTCATGTTAAAGTTGATCTCGTGGTGTCAGTAAAATGTCAACAGATAATGATATACATCGTCTCGCTTTATATATACTAGCAGGAACCCGTCTAACCCTAAAGTGGTGTCAAGACTCGAGAGACTAAAATAATTATTACCTATTTAATTCGCGTTTTTGACACCACTTGGGAGTCCAAATTTTGGGCACTAAAATTATTATTCCTTGGCTAATTTTTATTTTTTCATGCTGATTTGAAGGCCATTAAAGCATTTAACCCAGTCAAAAAAGTTTCAGTTGTATATCTTTTACGGTTTTTGCGGAAAGTTGCGTTAAAGTTGATGCCGTGGTGTCAGTAAAATGGCACAGATATATATATATATATATATATATCGTCTCGCTTTATATATAGTAAGATAGCATTGCATAGCATTTTCTATAATGTGAACCAATATTTAGGCGGGAACGCTCAGATTCAGAACTAAACAACCGCAGGTATATATAATCGTATCGCTTTATATATAGTAAGATGATAGAAATGCTTCTCAGGAAACATTGGTTGTATCCACCTGTCGAAAGGGGACCACTCAAAAGCGCTTCAGTACCATGAGCTCCACTTGTCTATTGCCCAAGAACTGGATCAGTTACCACTGCAGACCAAAGCTTACTTCAACTTGGCTACTCTATACCAACACATACACGACTATTCTCAAGCGCTCAAGTGCTACCAGGTTAGATTTGGGATATTGATTTAAAAAACTTACTTTAAAACTTGTCGGATCAAGTTTTTTAGACTCGGCACCCGTTTATTTGATACTTAACCGTTAAGTTAACGCATCCTTTACCAGGAGATCCTGACATTTGGTGTTAAGATGAGGAGCAGATCGGCGGAAATGAGAGCGTACGCTGGTCTGGGGTCCTGCACTCGGCAGATCGGGGAGCTCATCACCTCACTTAACTACTACCAACAGTACCTGAGTATCGCTCTTAAGATACCAGACCATTCCGCCGTCAGCAAAGCTCACTGTTGTTTGGGTCAGCTATTACTTATTTCCATTTGTTGGTTTTTATTGGTTTTTGTTAGATTTTAAACGACATAGACCCAATTTATTCATGTCATCGCTATAACGGCAATATTAGCGATTTCTATCACGTTGAGATTTATCTCAATTCTGCCGACACACCCTCACTCTTCAGGAAATATAAATCAAGGATTGGGCCGTCTGCCAGAAGCGCTTGAATCTCACAAGAACCACCTAGTTAAAGTTCTGGAACAGAGGGACCGTATGGCTGAGGGCAGGGTTTATGGAAACTTGGGAAACGTCCACTGTGCCATGGGCCATTTTAACAAGGCTGTAAAACTTCACGAACAGGTTCTTTTCAATTATGTTCCCTCTTCAAAAGTTTATCATGAGATAAGGATTTATCATAACCTCATGTGGACACCAGGAATCCAGTATGTTTATCCAGTATATTATCCGGTATATTATCCAGTATGTTTTATCCGGGATACAATTAAAATCTGACCATTCATTAAGTTTGAGGAAGTACACTGTAGCTTATCAATCTTCAGACTTAATTGAAATTGTGAGTTGGCCAGGTTCCAGCTCAGTACACTGATTTCAGAATGGCGGGATATTGTTCATGATATTATACTAGTAATATGACTTGGCTTACTTGATACCATAGCGATCACTTCTAATTAACTAATTAACTAATTCGCTGTCTCCTCTCTGCAGGCGTTAACGATAGCGGTGGAAGAAGGGGACACGGTGAGCCAAGCCTCCACAAATGGTAATCTGGGTATTGCCTACCAGGGACTAGGAGAAGACATCCCAGCACTGAAACATCTGGACGCTCATCTGACCATATCTAGAGAGTGTCAGGATACGGAGGGGCAACTTAAGGCTCTGTCTAATCTGGGCAACTTCCACGCTAACAAATCAGACTTTAATACCGCACAAGACCTGTTTCAAGAGCAGCTTGAGATCAGTCAGGTCAGAGGTTAGTTCGTGAGGTTCGCGCCAAATTTTATTAGTTTTACAATTCCAATTATTTGGTCTTCAATCAAGGTTACTGATAGAGATACTGATAAAGGTATTGTGATGAATTATGATTTGAAACCTAAAAAGAAAAATGCAGCTGTTAAGAAGAGCACCACCACAGGTGACGTGGAGGCACAGTGCAAATCTCTAAACAGTGTAGCACTACTCTACAAGATACAGGGATCACTTCACTCCTCCATCAGCTTCGCTCAGAAAGCAGTCTCCCTTTCTGCAAACCGTCCTAGACTGCTCACCAAGAATCTTGTTACACTTTCCAAACTGTATCATTTGAGAGGTGGGTTCCAGCACTCCTCGATTGTTAAGTTTTCAAACTCGACCATATCCACTTTTTGTAAGTTCCCAATACTCCATATTCTGTCAGTGTGGTGTCTATTGTCTAACTAAGTGTATCTTGTTAGGCCAGCACAATGACGGGAGGAATGCGTTACAACGAGCGTACGACACACAGACGGACACACAAACAGACACACAACATTGTGTCCTCGTCAACGAGTTAGGTGGAGCTAATTTGGAGTGTGGTTATGTGAACTCTGCTCTGGAACTCTTTTCAAAACTATCTGATCTTGCTCAAGATAATCAGCTCTTCAACTTTGAAAGTAAATGTTTACTTTACCAATTACCAGTGATAAGTAATTAGTAAGGCCTAATCATGTAACTGGTCGCTTACTTGTTTACTTGTTTCGGATTCTAAACTTGAAAATCGAATTAGTGGTTCATTTAAATGTTGTTACAATATCAAAATAATATTAAATCGTTGCAGTGAATTCGTTAGCTGGATATGGGAAAATCAACTTGCAGAACGGGAATTATGTCCGAGCTAAGGAATACTTCGAGTCTGCCATATCAATCTGTAAAGAGAGACATCTGACGAAGGATGAGTTTTACCAGCAGCTGAGTTTGAGTAGAGTGCTCTGTGCACTCCGGCAGTACGAAGATGCTCACTCTTCCCTGGTCTCAGCTGGGGAGCTGCTGCCTAACAAACCTAATCTCTCCCAAGATGACAGGAACATGTTAGCTGAACTCTCTTGTGGGTTCGGGGACCTCAGTCTTGCTAAAGGGGACTACACTGATGCACTGGAACACTTCAAAGAGCAACGGAATCTGTTAGTGGGTGAGGAGCAAATCAGGGAAACTGGAAGCATGGTTCTCTGTTTGTGGTTGTTGGGAAGCGGATATCAAGCTCTGAAGATTCTGGAATCTCTGGAAGATTCTGTGACTGAAGAGTGTCCATACGTGATGCTGACTGTACTGGACACGCGAGCCAAGTTAAACATGAGCGCAGGACGGTTCAGTGAGGCAATACACCAGCACGAGATGAGGTTAGATCTGATCAGAAGACAAGGAGACAGGGTTAAGGAGCTGTTGGTTCTGAGTGATCTGGCAAACGCTTACCTGGTGGAGGGGCACTTCGACCAGGCGCTTGTAAACTATGACCAGAGTCTCATGATATCACGTGATATTGATCATGTGATCGGGCAGTGTTACGCTCTCATAGGTCAAGCTAAATCGTATTTTCAGATGAGCGAGTTTGACACTTGTCTCAGGCTCTGTGACGAAGTCGATGATCTCTACAAGAATTCCACCTTGATCTCGTGCGAGTGTCGCCTACTTTTGGCAAGATCAGCATTGGAACTGAACGAATTAGAACAGTGCATAGAACATGCTAGGATGTGTATCGAAGAGGCAACTTACTCACCCCTGCTGCTAGCTACTGCCACCGCAATTCTTGGTCAAGCTCTCGTTGAAAATGAGGAAGAAGCGGCCGGACACGAGGCAATCGTTTCCTCTTGTTCCCAATTTGAGATCATTCTGCTTCAACGAAGTATAGACTTTATTTACGAGCAAGTGAGCCCGATTCAGGAGATCTCCTACGCCTACCTTTACAACATGCAACACAAACCTATAGACACAATGTGGGTTCATGAGCGCCTCCTGAGGTGGGAGAGGGCCCGGTACTTAGCCCCCTCGTCCCCATTTCCCGCCCCTCACGTCTCATCCCAGTCTCTAAGTGATGTGTGTGGGGCTCTGGGAGAGAATAGTGTGTGCCTGGTAGTGAAAGTAAACACTACCCTGGTACATACCTGGTACTTAGCTGGAGGTCAGCAGGGTCTCTGTGATTACCACCAGGTTGAGATCAGCGACAGGAACGAGTTCCTCATGTCCTCAGAAGCTGCTGAAGTGATGTTTGGAAATGTTGTGAGTGACATCAAGCGAGTCCTAAACACTCCAGATTCCCTAATTTACTTGGTTCTGTCGGAGGACTCCATAACTCAACCCATTGTCGACCAAGTGAAGTTCCAGCTGTTTCCTAGCATACCTGTTTCCATTTGGTGAGTCAAAATATTGAGAAATTCGACCATCGAAATGAGTTTATTGAAAATAATAACCACACAAACTATTAACTGACCTAGCTTGCTGTCAAATTAGAGGAAATCGACTGATCAATTTCTCAGCGGGTGTGTTGACGACCTCAGTAGACATGCTCACCACACGACTCCAGAGAAAAGTCTAACTCCCGTCGTCTTCTCATCACATGACATTCTCAACCAAGTTTCTGACCTGGTTAATGGTAAGAAGCTTAATCAGTTAATATGAGTTATCCCCTCTTATTTTGGTACGGTGGTACTCTCAGTTCACTTGTTGACCTTTATTTCTCAGGTCGCAGCACGACAAGAGTTGAAGACCTCAGATCGTCCCACATTCTCCACATATCTGCAGATGTTATTTCCTTCTCAGAACTGGATCCGGATATGATCTTTATTGGAGACGTATCTGCCGACTGTGTTATTCTCTACAATACAGGGTACATACACTCAAACTGTGAACTCCTTATCACTGCAAATTCAGTTCAATCTTATTATGTTACAGTTTACTCCAATTTTAATTGCCTCAAAGTTTGTCTATCTAATCTTGTAAGTCTGCCAAATTATGTTCAATTTAACAATGTTATAGTTAACTTTAACTAAGCAAATAATTAACATTCCTTTAAAACCACGACTCTCCCAGGGAGCTGTTGTACGAGGACATCACGAGAATATCTGTCTGTTTACTCTCGAATGTTCGGTGTGTTGTAACCCTTCTGGAAGTTTCTGAGAATGTTCTTCTGTTCATCGAGACTATCAGTAATCTTCTCAAGCATGGTAAATTTCCAGCTTGCTCAATCTTGTCTATATTGCTACGTGTATATTGCTAGATCTTACTAGATCTTGCTAGATCTTACTAAATCTTACTAGATCTTACTAGATCTTGCTAGATCTTGCTAGATCTTACTAGATCTTACTAGATCTTGTGTCTCTATAAAATCACATTTAAGTTTTAAAACCCCTGAACTGACCCATACTGAGCTGACCTCTCTCTTTCCAGGGAGGAGCGTGATAGAGGCGGTAACCTCGGAGATGAGTCTCTTGCCCAATCCTGCTACAGTACAATGTTACGGGTGCGATTGGTTGCCAAGACAACCTGACTACGTGTCAGGTGTGCGACTGTTGCTAAACTCTGCTGATGATAATGAAATCTGCCCGGCTATCAGAGCCACTCTTGAAATCGTAAGGGCTTTTTAATGTCTTACATGTTATATATACATATATCGTAAATCTTATCTCGGTTAACTGTATTTTCAAAGATCTTCTTTTATTTATCTTAACAATTGAATAATTTGATACGTTTATAAAAACAATAATTAATAATCAATAATAAATAATTATCAAGACATTATTTGTAAGTGGTTACATCAAGCTATTTGCTATTTGAGCCATGCTCGAATCAACGTCATACAGTAACATTTCTAACATTAAAACTTAAAACAATAATTACAATCAACTTAATGACAAGAAAGCAGTTACAAATTTTAGGATAGTGTTAAAGAAGTTTTTGGAAGACAAATTTTCAAAATATATACATTATTACATCAAAGAATTACAGTAAGTCAAAAATAAAATAAAATATTTTCTAAGCATAGTGTGAAGGGTCATTTCACGGAATTGAACATGCATAACTCAAGAATAATAAATGTCATAAAGATAGCATTCCGATCTGGCATTCTGGATCTGGAATAATGAAGTTTCACGTGGCAGTGTCATTAACCACCACCAGCTCCGCACAACCAGGACCTACTGCATCTCACTTCAAGCCCACTTCTATAATCAGTACAGTTGCAAGTAGTCGACTGAAGCTCAGTCCATGAGGAGTCACACTCGGGATAATCCTGAGGGAACTTGTCCTGTGAGAAGAGGTAACCTCCTTCGTTCAGAACTAACCCCATCCCGTCCCGTAAGTGTGTGGACACGTGACAGTGGAGAAACCATGCCCCTGGGCTGTTAGTGTTGAGTCTCAGTGCCACTGCTCCTCCAGCTGGTAGGATTACTGTGTCCTTCAGGACCCCCTGTCTGGACCTCCTCATCAGATCTTCTATTGGCTCTGAGAAGTCAGTGTTGATGTCCAGTAACGGACAAAGGTCATCCTGACATCCTAGTGTTTTTCTTGTGACTATTTCGAGGACTTCAAAGTGGTGTCCGTGCAGGTGCATGGGGTGGCTTAGATAGGATCTGTTTCGGAGCACTATAGTGACGGATCTGTTTGTTGGTACGGATAGGATGGGTGTGTGTGAGTTCACCTTATCTTTAGCAGCAGACATGATTACTGGAATGTGGGGAACTAGGTTCTGTGTGTATTTCCCCCCGTCCATTGAAACGAACCACTCCCCACTGTTACCCTCCATAAAATCTACCGTGTGATATTCAACAGAACCCAACAAACTCTGCTGTCTTGTAGGAACTAGGTCTGTGAGAAGTTTGCAGTTCAGTTCCGGTCTCTCAGGATACATACAGTTGAGTATGTTTACTGTGTCCATCTCTACTGTAAGGTCCTTGTTTGGGGGTATTTCTTTATTGTAGGGAATTAAATCGTTCATCCTAATTCTAAGTACGCCCAATGTTCCTTCGTTTTCATTATCTCTCTCCATTGCTCTAATCCACACATTTTCCGTCGGAAGTGTGATGTTGAAGTTGACCAAGACATCATACCTTTCTCCTGAATGAATGAGAATCAAGTCAGTTTCATAAGCTTCAACAGTGTGCCCGTCTGTGGCAGTCACTATTAGCTTGTATCCATCAATACTGAAGAAGAATGCGAACTTATTCCCTCCGTTGATAATTCGGAACTTATGCTCTCCATTTTCAACCTCTATTTCGTGAGTCTCCTCGCCATTAAGCACACCTGACCCTAAATAGTTTGGATAAAGATCTTGATATAAGAGAATCCTCTCATTTCCTATCCGGTAACAATCCTGTGAAGTACATTCAGGAATAATGACCGCATCTGTATCGTGCACAATGAGTGGTCCACGGACAAAGTCCAGACCGGAGGGTGTGACATCAGACAACATATTGTGGGTGTGATACAGATGAGTGCCGGGCAGATCCTCTACTTTGAACTGATACAAGTAAGATGTCCCCGGGACTATGGGACACTGTGTAACACCCGCCACTCCGTCGTACACCTGATATCCCCTCATGTTCAGACCGTGCCAGTGAATAGTGACCCCACTGTTAGCAAGTCCGTTAGTCACTGTAACATGGAGGATGTCCCCTTGTCTGACGTGTATTGCAGGCGCTGGTATCTTGCCATTAATTGTCTTGACCATGTACTTTCGGTCACCAACTTTTTTCTTCGTCTGCTTGATCTGAAAGGAGTAGGTTCTGGTGGTGGAAGGTTGACCTAGCTTTAAGTAGTAGACCAAGCCCAACACTACCCCAGTCAGGGCTAAACTTGCTAAGATGACACTCACAATCATTATTCTCTTCCTCACACAAGTTCGTCTCGGTAGATCTGCCTGAACTGGGGGACCAGTTGAAGGAACAAGATATGTTTCATTTTCATCCCCATCTCCTAAATGATCCTCTTCAGATAACATTAACCTGTTTTAGAGTTCAAATTCAAATGCTGATAGTTTATCAATTATCATACCGGGATACTGGTTCCAGTAACCCGATCTTCACAAACCCAAGACACAATACCCACTCCCCTGACCGACCCCCAGCACTGATGGTGGGTAAAACCTAAAACCTTGTGGCATCTCCAGAAACCTCAGCTTACATACGTAGTCAAATTTACAGACACAAATACGTGCAAATAATACATAATGTATGATATTTGTGCATACGAACATAAACTTCAATAATACGCAGATATGATATGTTTGATGTTATAAAGCTACGTAGAGAAAGCAGTTTAACAAACATTATATGCTAAGACGAACGTAATATGTTTCTAATAATTAATCAGACAATATCTCGTACAACCATAATTAACTGCATGTCAAACGAGGCGATCAACCCATCACATGAGACAGACTTTATTAAAGGCCACCCTGTATAATATACAAACCATGTATAATATAGGCAGGAGCGCTCGATGGGAAGCGTGTGGGGTTACTAAGGGATATATTGAATAGTTTTATGGGAGGTCATTACAGATGCGAGATTCAATAGGAGAGGAGTGCTAAGTTTGGTATAACTTCATTCAACTTATGTATTTTCAGTTGGGTAACATCTGCTCTCAGGGTTTACAAAATGCCCGACAATATTAACAAATCGATTATTGTTACTAGCTTCACAGGTATACTGGGAGATAATTTATCCAACTATGCACGCTAAAAGGTAACAGGTAAAAGTTGGAAGTGGTGGGCAGGACTATGGTGGGGGAGGGGGATGACATGTGCTTCTTTATGAATTTGATGATTGCGTAAAAATGCAGACTTTTGTAGTCATCATTGAAAATGGATCAACATACAACTAAGTACTTAAATTGAAGCATATCAGCTTAACGTCATGCACTGACGGTCAAACTAAACAAAAGCGAACTGCATGCATCATAATACGATTATTCTATAGAAGGTCAAATACTGTCCAACTCCCCATCAGTATCCAGTTCCATTGTCTGCCTGATCAGATCTCCAAGATAAAGGAACCTAAATACGTGCAAAACATGTACTTAATATAATGCAACTATGTTACAAATCTGATCGCTACAATATGTACTGATCAATCTTCAGTATCAAAACAATATTCTTTTCGTGCAGCCAACTTGTGATTTGTTTAATTAACGAGCACATATGTTCGTTCTTAAGAGCAGTGTAGCGTAGTGCAGTGGAGCAGTGCAGCGTAGTGCAGCGCAGTGCACTGGTAGTGCAGCGTAGTGCACTGGTAGTGCAGCGTAGTGCAGTGTAGTGCACTGGTCTATATTGAGGGTATGGTATGACAAGAATGATTTTACAACTGCTCGATTAAATGACAGTGGGATAGTGATGATGGACCTAATTATCTTCATCGATAATTTCATGATCAGAAATCAGAATCGTCGTGGAACCCGCACATTGCTAAAAGACGAAGAAATTATATTACACCGGATCTTTGAGTTCACGCTGCAATCATGATACTGTATGAAACGACGACTTCAAATTTAAATAATGAGAAAAAACGATTTCTCTGTAAATTAATACAGTTAGTTTATAAGTGTAGGCAGGCCCAAAAGGGTATACACAGTATTCAAAGAGCCTGATTCGAAATGAGTTGAGGAGAAACTATGTCGTAAACTGAAACGTTTTTTAATTTTTTGTGAACAGATTGGTCAGTTAGCTGCTAATAAATTCCCTATTAATGTTATCTTCGCAGATTGACAAGATAAAGACGGGATTCAATAGACAGGGTCCGATGACGGTACAATTTGATATACTGGGTCCTCTTCAAGGCTGGGATGAAATCCTACACTCTGTGGGAGCAGCCGTGTTCAGGGATAGAGTATCGTGAGTCATTTCAATTTTTCTTTGTTATTCCATTCAAATAATGGTGAAGTATTTAAGCTATGTTGAGCGATGAAAAACTATATTAGGGAATCTATTAGAACAGCTATTAGAAGCAGGGAGAGGATAGCATTGTTAAATGTATTCTTTTCTACTGTCCTTAGATCGATTTTTGGAAATGTATAATCTTTTGAAACACCGCAAGTTCTTTTAAATGTATAAATAGAATATACTGAACAACACTTCACAAGATAATGAAACCCCTTAAACCCCTTAAACCCCTTAAACCCCTTAAACCCCTTAAACCCCTTAAACCCCTTAAAGTTAAACCCCTTAAACCCCTTAAACCCCTTAAAGTTAAACCCCTTAAACCCCTTAAACCCCCTTAAACCCGCTGTATACGCAGAGTCCCTGAGGAGAGAGAGGAGGGTGAGGAGGACTGGCTTCTGAAAACAGAGGAGGTAAGGACCATGCTGACTTCTCTCTTGGACTGCGGGGATGATCTCTGTCGGGAACTCGTTCTGTTGCTCAGGAACAAGAACACTAATGTCGTCACTCACATCGCTGACATAGTGAGTGTTTTATATTGCTGTTTTTTTCTTTCTTCAATAATTTTTGTCTAGTTGGCAGAACTAGTTTGGGCTCTCGAAAGAAATTGTTATTTGATTAGGCGTATGACACAATAATTCTGCGATGAATGTTGAAAAACGTAAAAAATTGCTGACAATTACAAAATAACCCAGCTGGAAGTGTACTTGAGCACCTCACAAGAGAATGGTCCTCCTCCCAGACTACCTCTACCCACTGACATCTACACAGCAGCTGCCGCTCTCATTCAGGTCTGTTATGTTCACAGTGGGGACTACAGTGTCATAGACTGAGATATTTAATTCTGGTACACTGAATATGGATTCCTGTCCTTCTCGCACTTTATAGTTCCTTACTATTCTATTTTATTGATTTTAGAGAGATGTATAGTTCTCTTCTCCGTTTTTATTTCACTTGACTGTGTTTGTACTTGTTTTAACGCGTGATGACCCCAGGCAATAGGTCTATATGACACAGGTGGTGTTGTCAAGGGGAGTGTTCTGCTGACTGTGTCCTCTGAAACTTCCCTGCTCAGGGCCGAAGCTGCTCTCTTCGTCATCAAGTCTCTCTTCGGTTAGTATAATAAACATATAACAATCAGTTTAGTCAGTTGATGCTTACTTTTTTGACACAGTCACCCCAAATTCATCACTATTTTTCATAGTCATACATGATACAACTAATCCTGACCCCTTATTCCCTACTGATAATTTTTTCTTAGTTAAAATGGTAGAGAAAATAATATTTCCATTACTTGCAGATTTGGGTAACGCTGAACAACCTTACCTCTCCCCTGCTGATGACGTCGGAGCTATAGAGATTTAAAAAGCCCACTCACAGCTCAACTACTACTACTACTACTTAAGACACTACCAAAAGAGATTTCCAACCTGCTGTCAGCTTACTCCCGAGATACGAAAGTGAACAGTAAAATGATATCGTATTAGGCAACAATGCGAATGAAAAAGAATGTTCAAACCGACGAAGTTCAATGCATCTGTTACGTGCCAAGTTAGAAATGACGTATCAGTGGGTTTGGTAGACCATGAAATAAGTTTTTCTCTTGATGAATCTGTACATGTGAAGTAATTTATTGATTTTTATTTCTAGAGAATTTCTGATTTCTTCTAATTAGACTGAGTTTATTCAGAAGAAATTAGAAGTTCTCTAGAATAAAGCATGAGAGATTGAGGGAAACGATTAAAGTTCCAGTCTAAATTTCCCTATTTGTTTGTCCGTATTATGTCAGTTTAGCAAAGATTGTTTTTCAGTATGCAATGAGTAATGACATTTTGATATTCCAACAGTGTTACTTTACAGTTGAGTAATTTGAAAATGGAAGCTTTATTTTAGATAAAATGATAATGTACAATTTTTGATTTCAATTAAATGACTTTCAGAACAAAATCAACCTATACTTTCTAATGCATATCTAGTCTTTACCAAAACTCAAAATCGGGAAAATTAAAACTTAGACATGTATTAATTTACACTTATTATTTAATTGATCTTATAATTGTCCCTGATTAGAGGTAAATAATAAAATTGCTGGGTCTTTGAGTCTCATTCTGATGAACTCAATAACTTTGATCAAATGTATCACAGACCAATGAACATCAAATACACACAGCATGGTATCGGGAGCGAAATAACTTTCTGGTTCGACAGAATCGCGTTTAACCGTTTACCAATATCATATGATATGCAATATGAATATAATGTAATACGCTCACAGCGCCTAGCTGAACGATCTGAAGAATCGGACACATCTTTTACTGCCAACTATCATATATTTATTACACAAAGCCGGTAAACTAGCTACTGTAAGTTAATTCCTCCCTCTCTAACCCTGTAATACCCCTAACTCAGATCTTTAAGCCATGATAACCGAACCAGGGCACCAGAAATACAATCATGCCATTAGTCCGGGGTGGTTTAGTAACTGTTCCTACGTCACTGGACCTTTACTAGACGTACTGAGATCTCCCAGCTCCTCTTCTTGTCTGTCTGATTCGCCATTTTTATAGGTTCTTCAGCTTCAGCCAAAATAAATCGTTCAGTTTAGGATTGTATCATTTTAATGGTCGTAACAGTGGGTTAAATTGTTAGCATGCTGGTCATGGTATGGAGGTTATATGAGTTAAGTATAATCAGTATACTCTGTGCCAAATTTCCCACAGTAATAATTGAACTGTATGGAGAAGTAAGCACAGACGTTATAGATAGTACTAGTAGTAATAGCGGGAGTTCAATGGCTAATTGCGGCTGCGCTAGCGGTAATTATGAGTTTCCTAACATCGTGAACCTTGTTTACCAATATTCGTGTAGTCGTCTCTTATTTATAGCATATTTGAGAGTTGAGACCTAGGAACAGTCTTGTAAATTGTTCAGCGGCACGGTTTTTGTTTGAGACCTATGAACAGTTTTATAAATTGTTCAGCTGCCCGGTTTTTGGGCTTGCCATTATGATGTTAGGCTTTTACAGTTGTCTGTAGACTAAAAAAAGGACATTTTGGTTGCACCACCATTATACGATGCTGACGTTTGGTGAGGGATCGTTCACATATTACGTAATGAATATTTTAGCAATCCCCCCCCCCCCCCCCCCCCCCCCGTAATCAACCGTAAGCATTTCGAAACCCCCCCCCCCTCGGCTGATTACGTAATATATTTGAACGACCCCTTACAGTTACAATTAAATTTCTGATGAAAGGTTGACTGTCACTGACTATATAAATATTACTGTTTTTCTCATTCTCATATTTTAAGCCGCTATTTTGTATTAAACATTTTTAAAGCTTATAAAGAGCGAAACAAATACAAATAGCATCAAGAGTTTGTTGGATTTATAAAATTAGCCGGATTCCTAGTTTTAGTAGAAATTCTTCGCTTTTTGCCGTCGATTTTTCAAATTTTCGTCGGATTATAGAGTAATTATTCGAGAGTGGAGAGGCACTTGCCAAGACCAAGGGCAAGGGGTCGTTCAATTATCACTATTAGTATCACATAATCACTTTTTGGACAGTTATTCGGAGGGCCACTTTATTGATAAAACCCGTGATCCATTAAATTTTTAAAACTGCATAATTGATGCGTCTAATTTAGTCTAATTAGGACTGTTCATGTCAAGACACCTAATCAATCTATTTTAAATAATAGAATAATTTCGAGGAAGAAAACATCATTCGTATTGTGTGCCAATTATTATTATAGTAGGAGGTGCACCATAAAAATAAACTTGCTCGGATTTTAAAAATTTTTGTACCATTGTTTCTACTCTAGAGACTGTGAGAATTTTCACAATACCAAATTTGTCATACCTTTTTGGAAAGATCAGTGAGTTTCGCCTAGGTGCCATATTTGATAGTGCGCGGCTTTTGGAGCAAATTTAGCTGTAAAAGTCGCGTAATTTGACCTAATTTGACCAAATTCGTTGATTTTTGTCGTATTATTTGGATATATCTTCAGTTCCTTGAATGAGATCATTCTGAAAATTGGCGACGACCTTCCAATAGGGCTTTTACGACTGTCCGAAAAATTTGGTGGATATCGGAGTTGATATAGTGATCAAAATGAGGCAAAATACGCTGCTTTTAGCTGTAACATAATGTTTGATGGTTGGATATGCTTTAAACTTTTCGGACACTTTCCTTGTAAGTCTATGAGTAAGCTCGCCAATTTTTGTTGCAATTGGAGGTCGGGAAGGATACTTAATATCTATTTGTTTGAAGAAAATTGTGCTGGCCGAAATTAGCGATAAAAACCATCCTACAGTCGGCACGTGCGGCTCACCGTCGATGGCGCACTACCTAATTATATTTATAGCAGCTAATTCACCTTTTAATTTTAGAAATAGGATTTTTTAAATATTCCAAATAAATAATATACGGAGCATTTGCAGTGCCAATTTATTTGATCAATATACAACTCCTTTGAAATACTTATCTTTGTGAACAATGAACATGCTAGAAATTTTAAATGTGGCATATGATCTGATATACACGAGATGATTACACTTACAGCTAGTCGCATAGTCGGCAGACATTACATTTACACGCCTTGTGCGGCAATAGTTTTTTTTAATGGCACAATTTTTGCAAAATAGTACGCTGATGTATTTAGTATCTTTTGCGTATTTTGTTATGACTCTGATTGTTAAATTTATTCTTAATTGTAAGTTAGATTGGACTTCAAAGTCATTGGTCTTTCGTTTCTTTTTTGTGAAACATCCAATGAAATTGAAACATTTAGCGAAAGCGAGGTTTAACTTTAAAAAAGTGCGATCAAAGTGCCGCGGCCGCGGTATAACTATGATATGATCAGACGTTTCCCTAGGTACGGGTACCTGACGTAAATATCATTATCTATATCAGCGGTCAATGATATATTGCCAGATTCCAGACAGATAACGTTTTGAAATCACAAGTCTTAGTTTCACTTTCAGCTCTTAATTTGGATCAGTTTCCCGTTTTAAGTTGTAGAGAGAAGAGCATTAAATTCAAGGAAACTGCCATTGCTTTAAAGCTGCTATTATGCTGCCTAAGTGTCACTGTCAGATATATAAATAGTTATAGCGAATATATGCTTAGTGGTATCAACGTTTTGTGGGCACTTTATTTTCAGAAAAGATCACTTAACCAATTTACTTTCTCACTTAACCAATTACGCCACGTAGGCCGCAGAAGGCGGTTTCTATTCGGGTGTATGCTAGTTCTTTAGGTTTATTCTGCCGACGGCCTGTTCACGGTTACGTCACGAGGTGTATATCCTCGCCCATAATCCTCGGAAGCTCCGTGATCCAACTCAGATTATATATTAGTTCGATTAAGCAATTTGTAGTGTACCTGTATTATTGTCATAGTATTAATAGTCTTAGTCTGCATCAATGTAGCAACCTCGGCTTGACTCCGAGTACGCTCAATTCATGAGTTCATGTCGTGTTCAGTCTTTGTTAAAGTTCACTTCCCGTCTCAAGAAAATCCCCGAATCTTTGGCTTACCCTTTCGTTTAACATTAAAACATAACTTTGTGACGTCACATAGACATTAGACCGGTTCACATGGCCCCGATAAGTGGTCAAAACGACGCACATGCTCTCACAAGCATCTCTGTGTTGCCAGGCAGCCGGTCTTTGCTCACAATGCCATCATCTCTGTGAACTTTATCTTAACGTCACCAATAACAAATGTCATATATTTACTTATCTTATTTAATTAATTGGTCGTTTGTTAGATGACTCATCAATCCATTATGCTCAAAATTGGCTTCAATAAGAATTAAGCTCCATCTCGACAGAGATATACTTCATGGAGCAGATTAACAAGTTAATCGCTCTATTTACTTTCTTTGAAGTTGAAATCATCATGATTGTTGAATGTTGTTGCTCGCTAAGAGCAATTTATTATCGATATCCAAGTATCTAGGCTCCCGATCCAAGTATCTTGGCTCCCGATAAAGCCTACCTTTCAGTTTCAGTTTGGGTTAATGTCGAGGTTTCCTGCTTCCGCTTGAATAAAATCTTGCTTTCGATAAGAACATTACAATACAATAACTATTGACGGTGGCTCCTGTAAGATGTGTAATATGATACGTGCGCATGATACAATATAGTGTGTAATAATCTAATATATGTAAGTGCGCCACTGTTATTTGTTTTGAAACTTCCTGCCAGCCAGTCCGAGGTGACTCGCAATATGTGCTCATATAATACCTTCGGTTCCTTGCGGGGAAAATCTGCAAATTATCAGCTCTCAGTGTCGACGAGTTTTGTTGCATATAATTCCCGGAAATAGTTATAAACTGTATGAGTGCCTAAAACTCAAGCAGACTCGGGACCAGTAATGCTACGTTCTAATTCAGAATGTTGCATTACTGATTACTGATGTCCCCAGTCCAGAAACCACACTGTCACTAAGAATCTAGCACCATCAAACTTCTTATCTCATAAGTCTCGTTGATACTGCAAATGATATGTTCAGGCTCATGTCAAGTTGAAACTTCATGGCTTGATTTTGCTTCTGTAATTTTGTGCCTTTAAGCAAAACAAGGTTTAGTTACAGCCTAATAAAATAATAATAATATATTAGGTCGTAATCTAGTTCGACGCGTACTGTAGTTCAACACGTACTGTAGTTCGACGCGTACTGTAGTTCAACACGTACTGTAGTTCGACGCGTACTGTAGTTCAACACGTACTGTAGTTCGACACGTACTGTAGTTCAACACGTACTGTAGTTCAACAGGTACTGTAGTTCAACACGTGTAATCTAGTTCGACAAACCCTAAAGTGAGATATTATCTATTACCCTCTAACACATGACACCGACACAGGACCCTCGTTGCTTAGCCTTAATGTGTTCGAATGAGTAATTCATGATAAGCTTAACTGCGATATATTCAGGACAAAAGTTAAGCGCTTGCTGGCTTCATTTTAGACGAATTGTGAGCCATACAATATAATTATATAGGCCTTCTCATGGCTGCCAGCTGTGAATATTGTTGCTGCTTCTTTTCTTATAGTTATGCAGGCCATAGGGAATATTACGGTAGATTCAAATGCAATTGCAAAGGCTATTTTTAATTTCGTCTTAACATCACAAAGCAAATGTCTATTCTGTATTCTACAACAATTTCCTTTGTTCAGTTCTAATCTGCATCCCATCGCTCTTGGCCAAATCGCATTAATCTCAACACCGCACTTCTTACTCCGACTTTAACTGCCCAGTTAAACATTAAACTAAATAAAACAAGGGAAGAAGCCTGGCCACATACATAATAAACATCTCCCTACGGCCTTTTGGAGTCAGTGTGCTGTGATGAAATTTAGTTTACAAAAGCCCTCTATCGTGGACATGACCTAACCGTTGTAGAGCACCGGTAGAAAGCCAGTATGTGTTATTATTTACTGTCTGCCAGCTTCTACTCGGAGAAATCGAACTAGGGCATAATAATGACAGATATGACGTGCCCTAAATTGTATGTAAGATATCCAAATGGGCAAATTGTGCCTGCAATAATGCCGCCTAATCTTTGCGGAGACAGCGGAGGTCCAATGTGGTTCCTGCCTGAGGTCACATGACTACACATTTAGTGCACTCACTTAACCTACGCTATTAGACCATTATATGATAAATAGAGGTTGCCTTCTTCATGCTTGTGAGCAAGCGAGATGAGATAGTAAAGAGCAGCAGATCATTCGAGTTCCGTCGTTGTAATATTACCCTAGTTCGCGTTCTCGTAACGTTTCGATTGTGACATGCCAGTTATTTCAGCAAATGTTAGTCCCATGCCGGAAAACAATCATGTGGCCGTCAGACCTGGCCGTGTAGATTGCATTTACAATAGAACAAGAGGCAGAAATATTAAAGACTATTCTCGTCCAGTTGTTTCGTTGAACTTCACAAGGCCAGATCAAGGCCAGATCAGTAGTCCTTTAAGAGCAGTCCCTGCATTCGTGCCTGTGATTCGCACTCAAACTACAATCACAAATACACTAACTCTAAGCTCAACTCCTCTGATTGACAGTAAAAAGGCCAATTTTGAAGCTTATCTAAGAAGCGGAAGCGGAAGCTCACGTTTCCGAACTTCTCCACCCACAGTCGTCCTTCAGCAAGCAAGTTCGATCAGACCAGGCTTGCAATATCAACTCACTGACCCGGGAAGTCCACCACCAAAACCGCTAAGTACTTCCTCGAGCTCAGGACGAATACACCCCACTTCACCTCAATACCAGAGATCAAGCAGTGTTCCAGCGGCTGGTCCAGAAAACCACCTCTCTCCGCCAGATCCACACAAACATATCCGGGGAGCTCTCAATTACCTGGATAAAAAGGGACCTAAAGTTAGCGTCCTTCTAGCCAACCCCAGTTCCAAATCACCTGGTATCCGGCTAACAACGGCCTCCCCACCACCTGCCCGACACAGAGCAAACAGCACGGACAATCTAGCAAGATCTGGAGATATCCGGAAAATGGATTCCCACGACTCCGGATACGGTAACAGTCCGGGGAAATTAAGCATAGACAAGTCGGATTCGGTGGATATCAGTGAGATAGAGGCGGAGTATTACAAGACGATCCCGCCCAACAGAGAGATGTCTCCCGCTAATGTTCCACTTTACGTCAATAAACTGTCGGAATTGTTTACCACAAAGAGACATTTTGAGGCTTTTCTGAAATCAGAGTTCAAATACGTAGCTGTGGCTTCTGGTAAGCTTATTTCTGTCATGTTTTATGTCGAGAAATTGCTTTCTTGCAGACAATTACTTGATTACTGACTTTAACAAAGCAGCTAATTGAAATGCAATTCTCTTTTGACATAGATAATGATCCCAGTAACACTGATGTATTTTTTAAGCTGTCCAAATCCTTTACTTATCCCTCACTAACGAAACATACGCTAGCCAGACTATGCAATATGCATTATGCATACGCCAAGTTTTCCTACTGGCCTTTAGAATTTTAGAATATGGACAACATGATGTAAACAAAGAACTATTCGAAATGGGCTCAATAATATGTTCTGTTCCTTAAAATAAGACTTCCATAATATAAGTAATTCGCTTTCGTATAGAAGTATAGAATTGAAGTTAGACCTAGCCAGCTAAATTGACTACATAACCAATGAATAAGTGACTTAATTATCAATTATCCAATTTTCGAATGAGCAAATAATTGACACCGAGACTGGTATGTCTATATTTTGGATCGTTCAGATAATAAGTAACCAAATACACTGTCAGACAAGAATATCTGATATCAATTTGAATTAACATTAGGCTTGACAATAATACTTTCCTCGGAAAATTATGATGATTTTAATTGGCTAATGACCCACTAAAAGTCAAAATATCTTCCCAGTAATCGAGGCAGCCAGAGGTTTTGTAATCACAGCCAGCAAGGAGGATGTTCAGTTCCTGAAAGTAAAGCTACCGATGATCATTCCAGGCGGATGTTCGGTGAGTAAGCACATGTTTCCCTGAACTGTAAGGGAAATCAGTAATGATTTACCCTAATTCTGACCGAATTGCTGCATGCTCTAATCAGTGACAGTAATACGTATTTAATGAAGCTTCTTTACTTTCGATCTCTACTGATGGACTGTGTTGTTCAAGCGTTAGGGAAGTTTACTATACAGCTGCCTTTTTCCGTGGTTTTAAATATTCTTACAAGACAAAGAAAGGATTGAGTTTGAAAGTCACGTTATCAACTATTTTGCAGGTTCATGAGATGTCATCAGATGAGGAGATCAACACATTTTATCTGATCCTCAAACCGGTCCCTGAAGACATTGTTATATCAACTGTCATGAGGTCCCTTATTGAGAAGAAGTTCCCCGTCAAAAAAATTAAACGCATTTCGAACAAGGTGAGAGTTAGATATCTTGTAACTGCTATTTGTACTCTTCGTTGAGAAATGAGATGAAACCTTACATGATACAAAGTTTGAACTCACCAAACCAGGATAACATCAATTAATTACAAACGAATCAATTATTTACACTGCTAATCGTTTAATTACACAGCGAATCGAAAGATGTTTTCTACACAAAAAATGTCAGGTGACGAGAGAAAAGACGAAGGTTGTGGTGGTGACCCTGGAGTCGACTCACAAGAAGCTCCTCGCCATTCTAGAAACAGGGACTATCCAGATAGGGGAACACACGGTTCGAGCGTTCCTCCTCTACCCAAACAGTGGTACTGGCCAATCTGCTCACTTTATGACATCGGGAGAGACTTCAACAAATAACAGCCCGATGACCAGTATGGACTACACTCTGGGCACCTTGTCACCACTTGGTGGGTCTCAATGGTCTTCAGGAGCCTTTGATTCAATAGAACATACTGGAGAAGTAAGCAGTAGGCCAGCAGGAAGAGGCGGAGGATCTAGGAGAGAGTCTGCAGACAGCGAGTCTTCGGTAGATCGTGTTCCCTCGAACTCAAGAAACGGTCAACAGGTTCAGCAGAGATCCGAGGAAAAACCTCCCAGACAAGAGGTTGAAGTAAGGTCACTTCCTCCGACAGGCTCCAATAAGAAACAGAGTCAAACTAGAAACCAAATGCATTATCAGCCAAAATCAGGTGGAGGTGTGGTTTTGGCTCCTCCTCAAGATACATCAGTTTATTCAGCTATCGAGCGAATGTTAATTTCATCGAAAACTGGTATACACCCCGTGCAGCAAAACGGGGGTGTGAAGAGACCTTATGATCAAAACGCGGCTTCAAACCAAAGCTCTTTGCAATCTACTCAATCAAATTCCAGCTATCAACAATATTCTAGTACCCCAAAAAATAGTTTTGGGGAATCAGAGCGGTCCAAATCTCACACTGTGCTGATGTCAGGAAGTACAATCTCGGTGGATGGGTCAGAACCTTCAGATAGAACAATTATTGCATCTAGCCAGCAAGTGACGTCGCCACAACGCCCACCGACGCCATCAAGGCGCCAAGTTAATTCATCAACACAGCGGGAGTCTTCATCAATCATTCAAACAAACAATCAAACGCAATTTGATGTGAATTCATTACAAACTCAATCTATCCGTGGCAGAGCATCAACAAATCAATCTTACAAATCAACTGAGAGACCTAAAGGATCCAGGAGAAGAGCCGCATCAAGTGAACGTGAACAACAGCCAGGTATCCCTTTGACTCCACTTCGAGAGGACAGTACTAAATCAAGGGGGTACCCATCCAACCCCCAGATTCCTCCACCAAAACCCAAACGAACTCATCGACCGGTCAAAAACAAACAAGTTAATGGAGGTACTAAAGGATTAATGCTTACAGAATCTTTGCAAAGGGGAAGCAAGCCAACTTATGACTCAAGCCGGAAGGTCTCTTTCAAAGATAAACCTCATCCTACGCAAAACTGTATCCCTAAGACCAATTGCAAAGTAGTCCGGAATGTTTCTGTCCAGTACGAAGAGATGCCGCCGGACTTTTCAGATTTCATGTTGGATCAAGAGGACTCTTATTTCTGTAAACTAGATGGACTGGTAAAGTTGATGAAGGAGCGACCCACCAGTCAGGAGACTCAAGATCTCTTAATGAAAGTGAGAACACATTAATGTTTATAAGACCTTGAAATGATTCTGAAACAGGAGGTATATTTCAAGGCGTATCTTAAAATATTTATTCATAATGTAATTAACACAAAAAATTACGAGTAGATATGTTTTAATGCAGCATTTTGCAGGTTCGAGAGGCTAACTTAGCCCGGTCAAGATACGGTGTAACCTATGTAGAACCTGGTAGGAATGAGGACGAAGAAATGGCAACAGCGGGTCTCATAGGGGAAATGTTGAGGCAGGTAGAGGAGGCGAAACAGAGAATGGTCACAGGTGATGTGGACCCACCCGACCTATTCTGCTTTCAAGATATTTTGAAGCCCAAAGAAGAACCTGAAAAGTAGGTCATATTGTTAACACGAACAGATGAAAATTATATCCACAACTCTTTCTCTATACAGTAATTTTAGCGGTACGTTTTTACCAAGTTCTCATTTTTCAATACTTTTTATACTGATGATCAACAAATTTCAGGGTAGATGCTGCCGACAATATAATGAAACACGCGTTAGTAGGGATGATTAAAAAACAATCGGTCAAGTCAAACCAAAAAGTTTCACCTTCCCCACCCAATTCTACCTCGCCTCCAAGCTCTTCCAACTGTGTTTTCGTTACCGACAAGAAGACAAGGCGCAAGACGAACCACGAAAACTTTGCTGTGGCTAATGCAAAAGATAAAAAAGGTTTGCTGTCTTTTGTTAGTGCAACTTTTCTTTAATGATATCTTTCATTTAATATCTTATTTGACCGGACAGAAGGACAGAGCGAAACTAGTATTTCAATATTATTTTTATTTTGTACCAACTATCGAATTATATCCAAACGGACATGACATATAGTTACAGATTTGGCTGGCGCACTGATATCCCGAATAGTCAAGAACGACATTTCCAAATCTGACGATGTATCTAGAGATTCATACAACGTTACTAAAAACACAGGTAAATTTAATAATGGTAAAGGAAAATAGTTTATAGAATAAGCTAGTATTAACGCGACAATTATATCTGTAGGTTAGAGGAAAATTGTTCCCCGTCATACTTTGTAGTACTAACAATTATTACAGCTATTTCTATAGTTGTAAGTATTACAAAGTACTTACACTGTGTTAATACTGTCGCCTGTCCTACCCTGCATAATATCCAGTGTTAACCTCCATATTCTTACTTAATAACTTATAAGTTATAAAAATAACTTATTATTCCTGCCTAGATAGCAGAACAAGACGAGCCTCCTGCTCTCAGATCATAGTAACTAGTTCCCGCAAACCACATCGTCCCTCCGTTCTCCAGTGCTCGCCATCAGGATCCCACTGTTCAACCAGCAGTGAACAGAGCCTCATTTCCGACCTCAGCAAAACTCTCGCCGTCTCAAACGAAAGGGTGGGGCGAAAGAGAAATGGCAGTTCGGACCAGAACCATGTGAGCGACATTTTGTCGTCAATGTTCGGTAAAGCTAGGTTGACGTCTGAAGACAGTTCGTCGGGGGGAAGGTCGGCAAGGGATAAATTCATGAGTTCCTCATCCCCCTCCTTCAATCACGACCACTCAATTGATGAAGACGGTGATACTGATATGGAGATATTTGTAAATAGAGCCAGGGAGATGGACGAGGAGAAACCAGTGGAGAAAACACAGCCGGTTTCTCACAGTGGCAGAAGTTCATACAGTAAGAGCAATAATACCATTCAGTCGGTGATGAATAGTTTTCTTGAGGAAACCATGCTCCAAAAAATGGGCAGTACAATGGGAGATTTAGAAGAAAGTAATTTTTACTAATTTCACTGTTTCAGAGAGCAAAATTCAGCGAAATCGGTTGATGAATTTTAGACCATAGAAAATAATCTACTTTCTAAATTCCACCGTTATTTTATAGCAACCCTCAAGTGGATGCTTTATTTTTGATTGTATAGAATTAGAAGGTAATCCATTTTTAGTGTCTTTACTATAATGAATGATTGAAATGATACAAATATTTGCAATTGAGGAGTTAAAATTTAACCGATACTCTACTTTTATATTTTTCAAAACAATTGACCTACCAAAATTCGTGCTTTCAATATAAAATCTATGAAAGATAAGTAAGGAGTCTCCGCCAAAGGCACTAGTTAAAAGTCTGTGCTTCTCCCATTTCGATACACCAATTATTTAATTATTACCTCGACTTCTACGATTACAGTATTTTTGTCCCCACTCTAAATTGTATTTTACTCCCCCTTCTCCACTCTTAACCGTACTATTGTCCTCTCCTCAGATCTCTTCGCCCTACCTCCGTGCCACGTATCTAGAGAAGGTCCCAAGAGGCAGTGAGCTGGTTTGTAGTTTTGGAGCTAGTCCCTGGGGGTCCGCGTCCTTCTTGTAAAACAGTGAGTTGTAGGACGTGGAGTATTGGGGGGCCTCCTCGTGGCTCAGGGAGATGTGACTGTCTTTAAGCTGCGGGAGTTTATTGGTAATTAGAAATTGAATAGGTAATTGTAGTTTGTAATTGTAAGTCTGATCCATGACAAATCTTTTGAATTTATCCAAAGAATCCAACTGTCTTATGAGACCGCTTAGATATAACGTGTCAACACTTTAAGCCCATTTTAGACCCGTCCACTCCATTTCATCATTACTTCACATTACTTCACATGACTACCATGAGCCTTAGGCGCCATTATTTGAACATCATTCTCCCCCTTTCGGTGATTACGTAATTTATGAACGCTATGCTGAATACGCGAACTTAGTTCCTGAAGACTATAGTCTCAATTAGTGGATTAAATTGCGTCAAAACTTAAAGCATTAGTAAAAACGAGTAACGACTATTCAATACGGTCATCACGCGATAATAGTTAGCCTGTGACGACTTAAGGAAAAGAGGACGTTGGGGACGAAACACCGGGTGGTTCAAATTATCTTAGTAAGTTCGATCTGCTGCGCTGCCTCCTCCTTTAATCCACATGGGATTATCAAGAGCATTATGAAGTATTTTAGAAAAACGCATTCCACTCCACACATAGTATGGTAGAGCAACACTACCAGTTACCACTCTCTTCGCTTACTCGCTTTTGTCTCGTTGCGTAACAGCGTGGTTGCTTTTTCTTTGTCTACTCGAAGTGTCAGCGTTTCCGCATGGTCCTATTCATTACCTCAATTACTTTTACTTTATATCTATAAGTATTTTTAGATCACTATACGTATTTAACAATGTATGAGCTCACTTCAAAGTCTATTTTGTTAATTGTTTGCGTGCGCCACTGTACAATATACCATGACGGCCACAAGGTTGATACTGATCATCATCCTATCCATCTTGCACTTGGTCGACTGTAGAGGAGCCAGCAAGGGAGCCGCAGCAAACTCTGGACCCCACCCGAACAATGGTGGCCCTCATACGGATGAAAAAGAAGGCTCCGGATTGGCTGACTGGGTTATATACGGACCAGTACTGGGGTGTATTTTCCTAATCTCGCTCTGCCTGCTATACGACAAGATCAACAACTTTCTGATGACAAAACGTCACGATAACGCACACGTTGCTAAGAGAAGGTACCCAAGAGGATCAAATCCAAAGGAGAAAGATGAGAAAAAGGAGAAAGAGGAGAAAATGGAGAAAATGGAAATGTACCCTAAGGAGAAGGCGGAGAGGTCAGAGTATGATGTCAGATACACGGATGTAAATACAAGGGATACTGCACCCGGGTTCTTTCTACCCGTAGAGAGTTTCGAAAGAAAAGCACTGCAGAGGGTACCCTCGGACACTATGGAGTTCTTTAGAATGCAGGAACCAAATAAGGATCAGCGAATACCATCGATGGATCGGGAAAGAATCTTGCTGAATCAACAACGGCGATCATTGGACCTGCAGCAGAGATTCATGTTGAACCAACAGATGCCTATGTTGGACCAACGAAACCCAGCTTTGAATCAACAAAGTCCCATTTATGCTCAACAAAATCCCACCTGTAAACAACAAAGTCCCACTTGTGATCAACGAAGTGCCACATGTAATCAACAAAGTCCCACCTGTAATCAACAAAGTCCCACTTGTGATCAAGAAAGTCCCACATGTGATCAACAGTTACCTATTTGGGATCAGCAGAGATTATGGGAGGATAAGATAGCTGTGTTGGATCAAAAGATAGCCATACTGGAGCAAAACAAGCCAAAAGAAAAGTACAGCTGCGTTAAAAAGCAAAGTTCGTTAGATGTCACAGGTATAGAGTCCCCTGGCTCATCTAGGGAAGAAGTGAGACAACCTCTTTTGTCCTCAAATTCCGATACCACAGTATGTTCTAGTGATCGAGGAGTTGGTTTGGACCAGGAAACATCGTTATCAGAACAAAGCGTCCCACTCTTAGATCAAAGGAAAATATTGGAAACGAAAAGCCGATAACCCCAGATTTCGTCGACCAGACCCCCATTACTGTCCTCCAAGTCCCTCAGAATTTAACAAGAAAGATTAAGTCTGGATTCAGGGTTTGGCTCCGTTTCATATAGACTGGAAATCTTTATTCTTGGATTATATAGAATGAGCATTCATTCGTCATAATATTTCCGGGTAGAATCTAAACACTAATCATTCGAGGATTATAAATGGACTGAAGGGCATCTATCGTAAATCATTCAATTGACCATATTCGTGTAAACTGTAAAGTGTAAATAGATTTGTAAATAGTCTACAACCCTATCTGCATCATATTGTAAATAGTGTAACAGATTTTTTGTATGTGATATTTATAATAGTATTTACCTCGATGGCCTTATTATGTCGTTAAGCGTTTCTAATTTATTTGCTCTCGTGGAATTTTCTGTTTATTTGCTGTTTCATTTCTTATCCTCATCGAATTTTGTGACATATGAATACAACTTAATGAATATCTTGACTATTGTTTGAGCCATGTATTAAGACTATTAACAACTTTCTCAACTGAAACGTTTCTTGTTCACCAATTTCTCTTTTATTTGTAGAGCGTATTCATTCATCTAGGTTTATTGTTAGCTAACTAATATGATCATAAATCTTGATGAATTTGTAATAGATCATAAAATTATTCCAAAGCCTCCTCCTTTAATCCACATGGGATTATCAAGAGCATTATGAAGTATTTCAGAAAAACACATTCCACTCCACACATAGTATGGTAGAGCAACACTACCAGTTACCACTCTCTTCGCTTACTCGCTTTTGTCTCGTTGTGTAAGAGCGTGGTTTCTTTTTCTTTGTCTACTCGAAATGTCAGCGTTTCCGCATGGTCCTATTCATTACCTCAATTACTTTTACTTTATATCTATAAGTATTTTTAGATCACTATACGTATTTAACAATGTATGAGCTCACTTCAAAGTCTATTTTGTTAATTGTTTGCGTGCGCCACTGTACAATATACCATGTCGGCCACAAGGTTGATACTGATCATCATCCTATCCATCCTACACTTGGTCCACTGTAGAGGAGCCAGCAAGGGAGCCGCAGCAAACTCTGGACCCCACCTGAACAATGGTAGCCCTCACACAGGTAAAACGGAAGGCTCCGGATTGGCTAACTGGGTTATATACGGACCAGTACTGGGGTGTATTTTCCTAATCTCGCTCTGCCTGCTATACGACAAGATCAACAACTTTCTGATGACAAAACGTCACGATAACGCACACGTTGCTAAGAGAAGGTACCCAAGAGGATCAAATCCAAAGGAGAAAGAGGAGAAAGAGGAGAAAGAGGAGAAAGAGGAGAAAGAGGAGAAAATGGAAATGAACCCTAAGGAGAAGGCGGAGAGGTCAGAATATGATCTCAGATACAAGGATGTAAATACAAGGGATACTGCACCCGGGTTCTTTCTGCCCGTAGAGAGTTTCGAAAGAAAAGTACTGCAGAGGGTACCCTCGGACACTATGGAGTTCTTTAGAATGCAGGAACCAAATGAGGATCAGCGAATACCATCGGTGGATCGGGAAAGAATCTTGCTGAATCAACAGCGGCGATCATTGGACCTACAGCAGAGATTCATGTTGGACCAGCAAATATCTATGTTGAACCAACATATGACTATGTTGGACCAACGAAAGCCAGCTTTGGATCAACAAAGTCCCACCTGTGATCCACAAAGTCTCACCTGTAATCAACAAAGTCCCACTTGTGATCAACAAAGTTTCACTTGTGATCAACAAAGTCCCACATATGCTCAACAAATTCCAACCTGTGATCAACAGTTACCTATTTGGGATCAGCAGAGATTATGGGAGGATAAGATAGCTGTGTTGGATCAAAAGATAGCCATACTGGAGCAAAACAAGCCAAAAGAAAAGTACAGCTGCGTTAAAAAGCAAAAATCTTTAAATGTCACAGATATAGAGCCCCCTGGCTCATCTAGGGAAGAAGTGAGACAACCTCTTTTGTCCTCAAATTCCGATACCACAGTATGTTCTAGTGATCGAGGAGTTGGTTTGGACCAGGAAACATCGTTATCAGAACAAAGCGTCCCACTCTTAGATCAAAGGAAATTATTGGAAATGAAAAGCCAACATTAAGACAACAATCTTTATACTATATACTAATCATTTGAGAATTATAAATGGACTGTAGGGCATCTATCGTAAATCATTCAATTGACCATATTCGTGTAAACTGTAAAGTGTAAATAGATTTGTAAATAGTCTACAACCCTATCCATCATATTGTAAATAGTGTAACAGATTTTTTGTATGTGATATTTATAATAGTATTTACCTCGATGGCCTTATTATGTCGTTAAGCATTTCTAATTTATTTGCTCTCGTGGCATTTTCTGTTTATTTGCTGTTTCATTTCTTATCCTCGTCGAATTTTTACATGTGAATACAACTTAATGAATATCTTGACTAATTTATTGTTTGAGCCATGTATTAACAACTTTCTCAACTATGAAACTTTTCTTGTTCACCAATTTCTCTTTTACTTGTAGCGCGTATTCATTCATTTAGGTTTATTGTTAGCTAAATAATATGATCATAAATCTTGATTAATTTGTAATAGATCATAAAATTATTCCACAGCCTTCCTCTCAATATTTTCAATATTTTTGACTTTTGATTTGTCTCTAAAAATTTAATCATAATATCTAGCATCGACTCTGTCTGCTTCTTTTAAATTGAAAAACTTTTATTCGTAGCGAATCAACTTCATTCACCTATTTTGAACACTATAAATTCTCTATGAATTCTAGGAATGTCGCTGAGTTTGTCTAGAAACCCAGCTCGGGAGGTGATTCTCCTGTGTCTCTGCACCCTGATATCCAGTAAGGGCGGCATTAAGGGCAAAGGAGCGGCTGCTAACTCCCGCCAACAAGAAAACGATGTGAGCAATCTGGATGGGGAAGGAGAGGGCTCTGATTTCAGCCACGTGGCGGGTAACTGGATGATCTACGGACCTGTCCTAGGCTGCATTGTGCTGATCAGTCTGTGTGTTTTGTACGACAAGATCAGCAACTACCTGAGAAACAGGCACTCTACTGATCACACTCTGGACTACCGCGTGATCGGGGCTAGCTGTCATACTCTGGACAGAGTTAAAGTAGTGCACGATCCTGTTACTGGCCTATATGTTCCTATTGACCCACTTGACTGCACTGTTTTGGATATGGAAGTGAAGCGACCAGACAGCTCCCCTTCACCTGATCCCTCAATTGAGGAGGTTGCTAGCGTCCAATTTAATACTCAGTCACAACCACTCAATGTGGAACAAGAGGCCCCTTTGTTGGGCCAGGATAAAGTCGTTTCGGCACAGCAACCATTGTTGGTGGGGGGAAAACAAAAGATTAATGGTTTGCGACAGCAGAGTTTAATAATGGAGAGAAGAACCAGCAGTGTAAAGCAATTAAAATCGAGTTCAGAACCAGGCCCAAGTAGGGGAAGCAGTCCTGGACAAGCGAGAAAGAAATTACAGAATGCCAACAATGCTGAGAAACAACGAGCTAAGACGGCTGAGTTTGATGATGCCCAAAGAACAGGGACAAAATCGGCTAGACATTCTCAGCGTAGAGCAACCTTTGATGTTTGAAAAAGGAAGTGGTGAAATATATGATGGTAGCAAACGACGTTAGGGAATTGTGAAAAGCAGTTTATATTTTAACTTTTCAGACAAATATGAGCATATTTGCTTATAACATCAAACGACAAATCTGAGTATGTACTATGCAGTACCATGCAGAAATTGAAATACCTACTTTTTGAACGATCACTCAGAATTAAAATGGAGAGGAATGGTTGACAGAAAGTTAACAAAAAACTGAATCTGATGTATGAGAATCAAAATCATGCCACTTCAGTGAACTTCTAACAAAATTTTAGAGTTGGATTAGTTGCATGCGATTTGTTATGGAGTCATTTTATTACTTTAATTAAATGCATTTGATTTGCCTTGATCCATTATATAATATTAAAATTTATTTTGGATTTTCAAATGTATTTCAAATTAGAATTTTTCAGCATAAAATCTGCTTTTTATTTGATATTATGACGATAAGCGTAGAAGTTAAAGTTGATCAAGTGAATATAAGAAAATTCCCTAAACAAATCAAAAGAATTAAAGTAAGATCCTCACCCTGCTAAGCACGACTGGGTTGTGGCAGAATTTCTGGAACCCAGAGTTCTCCTTGAAATTGTCTTGAATTTCAGATTTAGGTGGTTCTCGATATTCTGTGAGATTAGATTTATCAAAAAGTATATGGTGAATTATGTGACATGACTTAACTAAATGTGAAATAACTTAACATAATTAACATCTTTTAACATTTTATTTTTTCTTGAAAAGAAGAAATAACAAGGAAATGAAGCACACAAGATAAAAAAACAGAACTTGATGAATTTCTAACCAGATAAGGAACCAAGAGAGAAACCGTTTCTAAACTTTACAAGTTGATCCACTCTGTCTCTAGGTCGAACGTGTTCGGCTTGAGACACATAGCACGACCTATAATTGTAGTTAAATATTTGGAGTTGTTTCGGAGATTTTAGTTTTTACTTTCTCCTCCTGCGTTATATGAGTTGTTTGTATTTGTGTAACTGTAGACCAAAACGCAGTGAAAGAATGAGGAGATCATCAGTGAAAAATGAAATAACCTCATCAGATTAATTGGATAATTAATTAATTAATTAACATTAGAAACCTGGTTGAAGCAGAAAGTTTGGGATTATCAGTGCCCATCTCCACGTTACTTCTTGTGATAATCTCCTCTCCTTTTACTTTAGGATTCAGAATCACCCCCGGGGCACGCTGAAACAAACATGATTTTAACAACCAGTCTTGTATCATTCTTGCTATCTTTCCAGATTGCCAGTGTCCGCGAATGGAATGTTTATAGACATATAATAATTATCTCACACACAGATCAATGTAAGAGTATCGTAAACTATGATAAGACTAAATTTCTAGACCAATTTCTGAGAGGTCTTCATTTGGAGTAGTAGTGGATAAGTTGCTCTAACAAGGCCGTCCATACAAACACCAATAAAGTCACACACAAAGTGGTAAATGGTAGTTACATACCACGGGGTAGTGTTCAGCATAAGAGGTGTCGTTCTGAAGCTGCATCACCCTCTCAGGGTGTCTGTCTCCTTCTGGGAAACTGCTCTTAAACACGTTCTCCGGCTTCATCGACTCAGTTCTTCCTGGGGAGTAACAATGGGGAGGGGGGTAACAATGGGGAGGGGGTAACAATGGGGAGGGGGTAACCATGGGGAGGGGGTAACCATGGGGAGGGGTAACAATGGGGAGGCGATAACAATGGGGAGGGGGGTAACCATGGGGAGGGGGTAACCATGGGGAGGGGTAACAATGGGGAGGAGGTAACAATGGGGAGGGGGGTAACCATGGGGAGGGGATAACAATGGGGAGGAGGTAACAATGGGGAGGGGGTAACAATGGGGAGGGGGTAACCATGTTTCAAAATAACAAGCCTTTACTTTATTTAAAACATACCAATTGCTTAGTATATATATAGCGCTATAAAATTGAAATGAATGGTCGTTTAAAGTTGGAACATGAAAAATTTGAATCAAATTGGGAAACAAATCTGTACCATAGCTGGCTCCTGTATGGTAGAATTTACAGGTGGTATCAGAGTCGAGCGTTCCAGCATGAGGAACTTCACCGCCAAACAGAAATGTGGTCCCCAGGATTTTGTTCATCACCGAGGTTTTCTTATACCTGCCAGTTTAAATAAGAATTCAAAAAAGATCATCCACCTTCTGTACAAATCTGATCCTAGATTCAAACCATTTTTCTAACATTATAAATTACTAAGACGGAATATCAAGAAATACTAATATAATACTAAAGGGAAGAAATGATGTCGGACCTGCCAGTCTTGTACTCCTGTTTGTAGTAAGTATCTCTAACATTAGTAGTGTGTTCTGGAGTTGTCTCATTACCGAGACCCACAGAGTGCGCCCCTCTTATCACTGCAGCTGTACCGTACTCTTGTTTGATGGCCGGTTTAAACTGACCAGAATGAAGTTCCTGAGTGGAAGAATACTTTCAGAAACATCCTTAATAAGATCTACTGGGTTGGTCAGGAATCTCGACTATGTAAATTAAGAGATCATACTATGTACATCTGTTCTAATATAACCAATAACCATGCTTTTCGTAGTTCTGTTTTCAGACGCTTGAAAGAAAATATATTTTAAATGTTATAAGGAATGTTATTAAGGAACCAGGAAGTACATTGTTGGTAGTGACGTAGGCCGGTGCTTTTCTCCTGTCAGTTTTGAGGGTGTCTATGATTCCGTAGTCTATGTAAGCAGGGTACCTGTAGTTTGGAAAATGTTACAAGTTTCAGTATTAGCTTTGAACCCCCGGCTTTAATAGCCCTGCTCAACATTTCAATCATTAGAACAAATGATGGTGCAAATAATCTTTAACCTTGTGTGTCGTTATCAGTTGCTTGTTTATCAGCACCTTATCACCAATATAATGACTTACCAAATAAATTCCGATACTGTATCCCAAAGCATCACATACCTGCTTGGTTTGATGTGATCAACATTTTGTCCCTTAAAGTTTCCCCGTACTTCCGAGTCCGGTATCCTCACCATCTCGCTGTCCCCCATTGGAACTGAACTGACCATGAGTGACTTCTGGCCTTGAGGGTCAAACTTCAGAGCATTGTCCTTTGTAAAGTGAGCCGCTGCTGTCGTCCTGGGGAGATTCCGTTAAAAATGTGCGTTTGCTTTTGTTCCAAATTACTTTTTTTTCTTTTGTTAAAGTTAAACTCGCCAACCAATTATTCCTCGATAAGCTTTTAAAAGCCGTTTCAAAAATCATAATTTGTTAGAAGTCTGTTTTGAGACTGGTTTTGTGTACTTAGAGTTAGGTAAAAGTAAAGGTCTAAAATCAAAAATCCATTCGGTCTCAACTTTTAAAAAAATATTTCAGGAGAAACTGTACATTGAAAGAAACTCACTCAAAAGATTGACACTGTTGGTCGCTGTGACCCTTGAAGTTTGTGTTGAGTTTACCAGTGTAGTCGTTCCACTCTCTTGTAGCAACTCCCCAATGCTGGTATGAGTCCTTCGTCTGAGACATTGGCAGCCCCCGGTCTCGGTCGCTGCTGTAAAAACTCAGTTTAGAGGATCAGGATTAACGATGATGAAATTAACTGCCCATTACCGCTATTATCGAGTGATCATGACAATTTATGATAACAACAATTACACAAATCTAAAGCTAAGTAAGTAAGTAGATATGGGAGATAACCTGTGCATGATCTGACTGTCGTCAAGTGATTCCACTGGAACTCTCCCGAGATATCTACCCTTTGTAAGCTGGAAACTCCGCCTTGTGTTGTGTGCTCTTTGTTTCCTGGAAGAAACTGCATAACTTTACTGAATCAACAATCCCTACAATAACCACCGGATGACCGGATATACGCCTTGCGATAATAGTTCAAGTTCAAACCCTCCGGCCCATAACCAATAACCATGCGTATGTTTGAATGATGACAAATCGTGACGTCAAAGAGTGACGATTATTTGTGCAACTAAAAGAATCAGGATGGATATTCTCAGTGCGTAATGCGTTCGTACCTCTAAGAATGCATTGTCCATGCCAACAGTGAAGTGGGACGCAGCAAGGAATTCCTTGCCCGTTTTTTGGGGAGCAAGTTTGGCTACGGTTGGAGGCATGTTGAGGCGCGTGTATATCGCAATCAAGAGCAGATGAAATCAGAAAGCAATGCAAATTTGCGTGTCGAGTGCTGGTTACGGGCAACAAGCACACTTAATGCGTTATCGTATTAACGTGTAGTGTCATTTTAAAAACATTACAAGTGCGATTTATCGCAAGGTTGAAGATTGGCTTGGAAGAGTGAACGTCGGCATGCGAGCTGTTATACATTACAAATATAATTATGAGTTCATTTGACAAGAACATTGACAGGTGTTGGTCAGTTACGTCATTATCTAGCGAGTAAGTCATCGTAGTGTTGTCTTGAATTGTAGTGTAAGACCAGTTTAAGACAACACCTTATCAATAAATTAATCTGACAATCAATTAAATCGATGATCATCACTCACCTTTCGATCGATAGACAATATACTCGGTCAATTACATGATACATACCTCTTTCTTCTAGATAGTTCCAACTACTTCATCCCCACGAACAAATTAACTAAAAAACAAATGATGAGATGTTTGCACAAAGACCGAGTGTATATGGACTCAGGTTAACGAGGATGTATAGCATGTTGTTCCCCCCAGCGAGGTTTTCATTAATAATCTGCCAGTTTACAAGCAGTCCTGTGCAACGCCGTGTTATGCAGAACAATGGAGACAGGACATTGAACAATCGCCAGGGTTAAGTTCCTATTGTGTAAGCGAAAAACTACCTGACTATCTGATAAAGAGAAAGGTTGGTCATGCTATAAGAGTAAATTCTGGGGCCAGAAGATTGCCGAAAGAGCCTGAAAATATCCACAGCAGGAATTTGTATAAGGGACAAAAAAGGTATGAGATATGGGTCAATGCTTATAATGGTTTTATTGGGTAACTGGAGGGAAAATCAAACAGAAGGAAAAGGAGTTGATGGCCATTAGTTGAATTCTGACATATGTTTGTAGTTTCTTTCCGTGCCTACCATAGTTGGTTAGTACGCACTTAACGTACTTTTAAAGCATCACGCACTTAACGTTGCCTCAAACAGTGTATTTTATAATTCTTTAAATAGCAGCATTTATTTCCAAAAGTGACTACCAGTTTAATACTTTAATACTTCACAGCGCCAGTGCGCTGCGTGTGCATCCATGGAAACCTGCGCAATATAGACGTATAGTAAATAGATGTAAATCTGTTCAATCATTTAAGGAGGGTGATAATAATAGTGGCAGCTCGTTATTCAAATATTTGCAAAACAAGATATAGCTTATTTATTTTCTTCAGATCTCTTTTAACTATTAGTACTAGTAGTACTAGTAGTACTAGTAGTACTAGTAGTACTAGTAGTACTAGTAGTACTAGTAGTACTAGTAGTACTAGTAGTACTAGTAGTACTAGCAGTACTAGTAGTACTAGTAGCACTAGTAGTACTATTAATTGGCGACAGTGATGAAATTTGACAACTGCAACGGCGTTGGCTCGCTAATCGGTCAAAAATGATTGTGCAAGGTTCAAAAATAATGAAAATGAGAAAGCTCAACCGATAAATCGATCGTAGTGAAATCTCCTGAAATCAGAGGATAAGAGACGAAAATATATAAATTATGGACTCTGTACACTCTTAATGCATGAAGATCAGAGCTGTATACATGCAATTTCTTCTCATTCTGCCTCGTTGATCCATTAATTACTTAAATACATCTGAATATTGGATTGTTAAAGGTCATTAACTGTAACAGGCCAAACGCGGCTTCGATCGAGACACGGTACGATTGGTTAATCCTTTCACCAACTCAGCAACTTCATATTTTGATACAATATAGTAAATAGTAAGTTTCAATATTTATTCTGAATTTTCTAGGGATACTAATTGAATACCAGGATGAATATTAAATATATTAATCAATACTTAATACCAGGGATTCTGCGTAGATCGCACTCTATCTCCCTCCTCCTTCTAGCATTCTCTTTCTCCTATTAATGTTTTGCTTGGTTCGACTTCTGGTTCGAATAAGTTGGCCTAACCCTAAGTTGGACAAAGTCAAGCTTCGACTAATATGGTATATACTTATAGTATGCTGTCATGTTTAGTGTTTATGGATACTAGCAGAAACCCGTCTAACCCTAAAGTTGTGTCAAGATAAAACAATATTTATTCATTTTGTGATTTTTACACCATTTTGGGGTCCAAATTTCGGGACCTTAAGTTCTTATTTCTTGGCCAATTTTTTATTTCTACATACTGGTCAAAAGGCAATAAAAATATTCGAACCAACATAACAAATTTCGATGGTATATCTCTCACGGTTTTCGTGAAAAGTTGTGTTAAAGTTGATGTCGTGGTGTCAGTAAAATGGTAACACTACCAGAAATATTATATCGTCTCGCTTTATATAAAATGTACTGGTTACGCATTATGCTGGACGACACTTGTGTTTACTGTTTTCAGACGGATTTTGATTAAAATAAACACAGAATATTTTTGAGCAAAAACTGTTTTGGTCATGTGACATACTATTAGGATACAAATTCGATTGTTTAGGGCTCGGGTTGGGGTTAGGGTTAGGGTATAAGGGTTGGTGTATAAGGGTTGGTGTTCTGATCATTGTCATGGCTAGCTTCATGGTTATGGTAAAGGTTGGAGTTTCGGTGAGACCGTTTCTTTCGGTTACAAAACAGCAAAAACCCAAGTCACGTGACAGCTCGCTGGCGAGTGAATTAGTAAAAACCACATTAACATTATGCTCTGCTCTACCAGTCTACCTAATGCACAACAATTCCGGCTTCTTTCTGCATACCGTTACTATCAACATTACTTGTGAAATGCGCTTAAGAGACAAGACCATTATAGCACGCTTTGGTTAACCGAGCATGATCACTTTTCAAAATTGTGTTCATGGCGAAGCAAAGCACAGAGAAACCTTACTTTCTCAGCAAGATGGCGATAGACATAATTGGTGTAAAGTTTATGATATTTGTTTTCTTCATTCTATTATTCGTACCATAACACTAACAGTACAAATTCTCAAAACAAATTTGGCCGGTAGCGCAGTGTTCCACATCGGTTTCCAATACCTCGCAAATTAAGCCAGCAGGAAGGTTTAATTATTATTTACTAATTTTAACGAAAACACTTCGAAGATTCTGAACTTCTATGCGACTACCACACCACTGAATATTCTGTTGACATATATTTTGTCCATTCTGTCGACTAGATGGGCCATGAGTAAATATTTGTCAGTTCTAGACAAATGTAATTGACTGGTGGTAGTGCATAAATCACTGTTGTTTCCCTAACATTCAACATCTTAGGATCGGTAATAAAGGGACCAATTTATCAGCTTCAAATGTTTATTGTTTCCTGTCGATGCGTATGAGAAGTTTGCACTTGCTTATTTACGATTCATTCTAATTCTATTATTTGCTTTTGAATCGTTATTAATGACATAATTTTCCATGAATTTCTTCAGACTTTAGTGCTCATATATAAATCGTAGCAAGCTATGGCCCAACGTGGTTCCTGGACAGATCTGTCCAGACAGGAAGTTAAAAGCCCATCGCTAGCTTGCAGAAGTCTCTCTCGAGCCAGATCCGCCAGTCAAACCGACCTGATGGACCTTAGTCCCAGTTCTCTTGAGGAAAAATACTTCGACAACCCCAGCACATTCAGACTAGCTGTAAAACCAGGGTTGGGACTGACCCTAAAAAATGGTCCGCTGTCCGGTTCTGCCCCATCAGGAAAACTCTCTGATAACCATTTTGACTCACCTGAAGATCAAAATTTTGTGACGTCCAAAAAGAGGACATTCTCCAGAGCCAAGGACTCTATGAAAAAGCCCAGTGATAATAAAGGTAAAAATGGTGTACCTTTAATATCGATAACAGATGAATCAGACTCCGGCACTGAGTCCACCCTCAATTCAGCTGTTAGCTCACCTCGAACACCTGAAACGACCGGCATTGAAAACCCTGCCTGTATTGTTAACTTTACCAGTAGTTCTGTGACGGAGAACGTGAAGTGCAATAATCCCAAGTTGGACCTTGTGATAGAAAAAAGGTTGGATCATAATGATGAAATGCTTTTGGAAATTCCTGAGGGTACAGATGAAGCCGTCAAGCCCAATGGAGACATTACGTCCGGAAATACTTCTAACATAACAAGGATAGTAAAGAAGGTGCCACTTATTACCGATGAAATGCTCCAAAAACACTCTTACCATTACTATTTAATGCACAACTTCTTCTTGTCTGAGTCCAGCTCCAGTGGGCAATCTGAAGATGAAGGTAACCAGGGGTACCCAGAAACACCCACTGTTAAAAAAGTTACTTTCAATCTAGAACCAGAGGTTATAATTCTAGAGCCCGACACACCATCCTGCTCTTGCCTCCAGCGAAATCCAGCAAAATACGCATATATCCAGGTGGCTGGAACAATGTTTCAGACACATTGGACCACACTGGACAGGCACCCAGACACTCTTCTGGGTTGTCAGGACAAGTTACAATACTACGATTACAACAGAGAGGTCTTCAACTTCCCCCACATTCGTCAAGACTGCTTTGAGTCGATACTCTTCTATTATCAGGACGGTATTTTAAGGTCTCCAAAGGGAGTGAAGGAGGAGGTATTTCTCGCTGAGCTGGACTTTTTTGGAATTCGACATGATAAGATCACGGTCGGTCCTTTTGAACATGAACTTCAAGATAATTACGATCACGCTGTCCCCGAGCAAGATTCATTCCAAGCCAGGGTATTTCTCTTTCTCTACCATAAGTCCTCAACTACAACGAAGATTTATACTTTTATAGACATCATCTTCATTTTGACGTCCGTGGTTAGCTTTCTGACTGCAACAATCCCTAAATACAAGCCTCCTCTTCATCAAAACAACAGTGGAAACTGGACTGAGGATCAGTCATTGTTCTATTCAAGATTTGGTGCAATCAAGGAATTTGTTATAATCGACGGAACTTGTATGATCTGGTTCTTTGCCATGTTCATCCTTCGTTACTACGCGGCTCCCAAGAAGCAACCATTTCTCAAATCCTTCCAATCAGGCATTGACCTCATACTCATCACCGCTTTTGTAATCTCGGTCGTTCTAGCTTACTCGCCAGTCATCGAGAACTCATTCCTTCACACTCTTGTTCGATTAACTTTCAGCCTAAGGATCTTGAAGCTTTCCCAGCATTCCCTCCTGCTGAATTCGTTGGGAATCGCACTCAAAGAGGCGTCGAAGGAGCTGATATCGGTGCTCCTCTTTGTGTTTGTTATCGTATTTATTTTTGCGTGCTTCGAGTACTTTGTGGAGATAGAGGAACCAAGCAAAGAGCCTGAGGTAATCGTTTAAATACATCAAAATTTAAAATAATTTATTGTAACTGGTCATACTCTTACTCTCAGCAAATATCCAAGAGGAAGTCTCAAACATTTTCTCGCTTATATAAATGTTGTTAATTGTGCAGCAAACGCCGAATCCTTATTTCATTCCGACTAGATAGCACGTGTTCTCGTCTCAGATCGTTCTAGAACTCTCTTTGCAGGATGATCACGTGAACTGTGATGGAATAGTCCACTCCGACTGTCAACATCACCTGGAGGATAAAGATGAGCACACAAGTCTGATGGACTATGTTTGGTGGAGTCTTATCACCATAACTACCATAGGGTAATGAGCCGTGAAACTCACAATGATAATGTAAAAATATATAGCTTTATATAGTTAGTACTGATTACTGATGTAGTTGATTATATCAGCTAAAAAACCATCCCCCCTTCCTGCGCACTATTTGAGTATCATAACAATCAATAACGATCAATATGGCAGGTATGGTAATACTCGGATCTACACAACTGCTGGCAAGGTAGTCGGTGCTTTGTGCGCGATATCAGGAGTACCTCTGTTCGCCATACCCATACCCATACTCAGTAAGCACCTGGAGAGGGTGTACCAGCGAGAGCTGAGAAGGAACAAACTTCTCAACCACAAAATGAAGCTGCTCTCACAGGTGTTTTGACAGATTTGCTGTTGATTCAAGCTTTCTAACATTTACATACTGTACAGGTGGTAACCTGTTAATGTTCATTTAAATTAGATGATGACTTTTCCAAGCTGGGGGTTCAATCTTGTGAAATAATCATTCACCGGTTATTTTCGCCATGGAGTTTCTCGTTCGATACAATAAGAATCTAAACTCGACGTGTTACGCATGAAAAATGAAAATATGTCTCGAAATTTCGTTATCAGGTGCCCTTGTCATAATATGTAACACTTAATAATTTCAAGAATTTGGCAACAGTTTCCTTTTATGTTTCACTCGTGTTCTAAGTATACCGATGACTAGTCGCGAATTTTATCTCAAATCAAGTCTGTTCTTTTAATCTCATGCGATGTACCTAGCAGTGGCCAATCTCCATCAATTTTATTAGTAACAAATATTTTGGGTATAAAAAGATTTAACTTCGACTTTTCAGAAAATGCTGACAGAAAGCACCTCCCCAAACACCGATCTGATTCCTGAGAGCGAGGATTCTTCGGACTCTGAGGAGACGATCTCCTGGCAGAAGATTGTCGGCACCAGGAGGAAGAGCATGGGACCTCAGTTTGCAATGACTCATTTCAGTAACAATACGTCTTAGGAAATGGTACCTCAGTTTCAAGTTTGCAATGACTCACTCCCAATTCTTGGAAAATGGGACCTCAGTCTCCAATGACTTGCTTCAGTACTAACACCTCTTAAACCGGAACGTGATGATTGGTCCCTAATTGACCAGGTGCCTTATCAGTCAATAATTGAAACATTGCACAGTTTGTATTTCCCAATCAGACAAGTGATAATGGTTTTTTGTAGAGTGATGATTGATCATGTGTTATAATGTGTTTAAGTTTCACACGCTGTTCAATACTTACGTACTTACAAAGCTGTGTAGAGCGGCCAACCGTGCATTTTAAGATTGAAAGAGATTTAGTTTAATGAGAATGTCAAATAGAATGAATTTCAAGAGCGATCTTTTTTCATTTTTAGAATTAATTATAATCATCACATTATCGTTTCATTTCTCGTAAACGGTTTTAGTCCTAGAAAATACACTGTCTAGTAATTAAAACAAAGATTGCAGCCTTTTCGAAGACCAGGTAGTAGCAGGATATAAAAGTTTTGGTTTTGATCTCTGACCTTCCGGCTAAATTATAAACTTCGTTTCATTTTGTAGGAACTTATCAGATTTCCCCAGCCTCTTATCTGAAATAAAAGGGTAGAGGAATGAATGGTCAGCCGATTGAACCGAATAGAAATGAACCAGACTTGTAATCGTAATGCTCTACACAACTTGGTCTTCTGAGATGATTCATGTTAGATAAGAGTTAAGTGTGCATACATTTTTTTGGAAAATCTGTCAGTTCCGTCACAAGAAGACAAGTCAGATAGGGACCAGGCATTCCCCTTCTAACTTGAACCACTGCCAAGGAACCTTCAAAATAACAGCAGCTCTGAACTTCTGACGTATAAATGACTTACCACTCCGGCAAAAACTGCGTCATCCTCAATTACCCAGGAGTAATGGAAGCTTGTGGTGGTCAGCTTATCTGGAAGACAGGGAGACGGAGTCACGCCCAAGTCAAGCAACCTCCCGCTTTCTTCCGAATTGGTGGAAAGAGAGTACCATGTCAGTTCGGGGCAGAATGTCACGTCACGGTGGGTTCAGGGTCCTGGGCTGATTGGAGAGAGGTGGGTCTAGGTCAGGGTAACTCGGTGTCATATGACAGGACCCAGAGAGAGGGAGAGAGAGAGAGGGAGAAACACACCTCGTTCTTTAGAAGCTGTTTTGCAGCAAGTCCTGGTTAACTCTGTTTATAGTCTCCTAAACTGATTGTAACTCATCATCTCCTGCATTTCAATGTGAGTATTAATATGTTAATTTATGGGAATATGCTGGTAAGTACTAAATGTGAGAATTTATCACGATATCTTGGCCCGGGAATCTGGGACCGTGTTATTTACAGGCCTGGAATTAATACTTTTATCAGTAAAATCTTATCAAGTGTTAATATGAAACCGTGTTTTAGCATTGTTAAGATCTTTCTGTTATCATCCCTTTCACATTCGTTGCTGTGCAACAGTTCACTTTTCTCCGTTTCCTATCCCCGTGATCCTCTGTGATCAAGAATCTTAACGGATTTTCACAAGCTACGCTTTCTTTTTATTGCGATACTTCGCGTGGAAGACTTGCATTGTTTTTGTTTTCAAGTGGTGGGAACTTTCTATAAATTTGAAACAGATTGGAACACAAAGATCATGGAGTGCGGACTTCATAATAGGGAAGGAAGAGCAGCGAAGTTAACTCGAGGAATCAGGAAATGAAAACAAGCGCAAATACACTATGGATACTGGCTAACTTGAATACAATATAGTAATGCTTTGGCCTTTGAACCATTATTCAATTAAATTAGATTGGTTGTTCAACTTTATGAGAAATCATCGTCATTGGGAGAAAGCAGACAATCAAACTACTATACTAAACATAAGAGGTGAGTTATGAAATCATGATCATGCGATATATAAACTATTTCACGAATCAGTACGCAATTTATCATCTGTAGCAAGATTTTATATGATCCCTACGAGACAGAACTATTATCGGAGAGGTAATATGATTTACAATTTTGTCTATTAACGTATCCTATCAATTTAAATCACCGCATCTTGGATCGCGATTTTATCTAGCTACGTATTCTAACTTTAGGACGAACTGTATCCCTTTTTAACGGAGGTTATGATTTGAACGTGTTTTCAACCTAAAATCTTATCAGTATAAATTTTATCATTTTGAGTCATATCCATTATCCATATGACATCTCCCAATTCTTCGTAGTAAGTTCATTCCTTATCTTCGCATGCTTTTTTTGCTTGTAAACTGAGATTGATTAGAATTATCAACGTCGCTTTTCATGATTAAAGAGTAATGCAGATCTAAAGTGCAGTATTCTGTAATGATCTCAACTTTACCGTTTAGCTACTTTTGATGAGGTATAATTTGAACCATTTGTAGAAGTGTACTTAAGTATTATAAGTATTGTATTGTATTGTACAATACAATATATAAGTAGTGGCAGTCATGAATCACAGAGCAAGTAATAACTTGCGGCCCCCTTCAAGTTTATCGTGATTATACATTTTTTGCATAATTTGGGAAGACGAGAAGTTTACAGAACGTCGAAATGAAATGACGTCAATTTATTTGGAATATTTACGACTAAATTCATGACTAACAGATTTACTAACACATTTAAATGAGAGCTGATTCTTAAAACCCGCACCTGATAAATCAAATAATGCCGTAATTTTGATGCACCTGAAATTATCTCATTTAAGAACTTATTTGGTCTGGTTCGCACGTGCAGTGAATAGGAAGGAGAGGTTCCTTTCCATTAAGATGAGTTAACAGCGAGATGGGTTAGGAGGGTAGGGTGTAGAGGTGTATACTGAGGGGTAGCGTGCGGGCCCAGCAGAGGGTGACAATGACGCACAAGGAACCTGTAAGAACAGCACGTGACACCGCCGAGAGAAACGGATTTGAAATCATTATCTGGGTTCTTCCCACCCGGTTAAAACAGAGAAATTGAATAAAAAGGGAGAGCTGTGAATTGGGCTGTGAATTGTGGCAGGAAAATTTCTTATTTTTCTGCAAAAAGTTAATTTCCCAAAGGCTATCACACGATCAGGTCGTTCTGACATGAATAAGTCACGTTTGAGCTGACCAAGGGACAGATAAAAGACACAGTGATTGTAGAGCAGCAGTTATGACGCAAACACGTGTTATCATGAGTTGTTATAGTGAGTACGCATACCATGCTGCATATTATAATTATGTATTAATAGTACAGATGATAAAGTCACGAAAGTTAACATTAAAGTCGTCATTAAATACAAATGTAAGTGTTATTGTGAAGAACTTTAATCTAGCAGGTTGTGTTATCAGTGTTAATCTGTTAATTTCTTAAAAACAGAAATTTAATCAAATTTGATAATCTTTGTAACTTGCATTTAGCAATTTAACTGTAAATTTGTTAAATGAGGCCATATGAAATTCTTATCAGTTTTTAGAAATGATTACTAATCATTTCCCTGTCATGGTCAATTTATATCGATAAATAAACAATGTCCTGCAACGTGAACAGCAAAACCGTTAAACTTGAATTTTAGACCCTAGGTACCGTGGGAAAACACCTCAGACTATAAAGACACATTTTAGAAACTTGTATTATCTTATTATACTTGCTGTATAAGGTACTTTCTGTTTTGAGAAGTTATCATAATTGCGGTCTCTTTTTTTTTCTTTATTAGCTCTCTGACTTCGATATTTTATACCTGACGCCTCAGATGTAAGTATTGTTCTTAGATGTATGTGCAAACTTGCATTGGTTCGCCCAAATTACATTAAGTATAAAGGGCAATAATTCAGCTTGAGCTCGTTAAGTTGATTAAATTGTGAGATTTAATGCTAATACGATTACACAAGAACATTCCCGAACCAAATAAGAGACGGTTTTAAATTTCTCTTCTCGAGGTTACGTGCTGCAAGTTTCAAATTTGAATTAATTTTACGTTAATATTTAGTTTACACTTTACAGTGTCTGGTTGTTACCGAAGCTTTTTGTTGGAATACAATTTCATTCACAAAACTTTTATATCACAACAAGCTGTATTATCAAGATTGCATTTTAATTCACCAAGCTTATCTTTTGTGCAAGCTAGAATTTTCCAGAATGGCGAAATGACGCAATGAAGACCATATTTTAGTCATATCGTAGGAAGATAAGATCAACCTGTATCCACCCTGAACATCTCCCTAATTTTTGGTACCAAGTGTGAGAGTCGATCTCCCAAAAATTAGGGAAAGGAAACCCCTCACACACGCGGCCTGATCATGAGGGTCATGTAACGTCAACCACTGATCACGTGGTTTGACCTAGCACGTGACTAGCGCGCGATGTCACGTGTCCTCCAATACCCTAATGCTATTAGCGGACCAAGAGGATGAATTCATCGGCCAGTGCAGCACTGAGGACGGCGTTGTCACGCGGGACTCTTTCTCTTTATACCATGGCCGGCCTCTCTCGGTTCCTTAACCAATACATCGTTCCTTTTCCGGGCAGTGTAGTGCCAGAGATTATCTTGTTTCAGGCGAAGTTTTTTTCGATAGAACATATTTAACTGATTATTTATCAATATCGTTGACAAAGATTTTTTGGCACTTCAAATATACAGTTTGTACATTTTACATGAGGTATGAAATGGGACGATCTCTTAAAATAAGCTCCATCTTCCATTCTGATTTCTGATCTTACGGCTCCAATGATATGTTACATTAGTTAATTGCCCCGTTTTGTAGCAAATGATTATCACGTTTTGCTTAATATTCATCTAACGACATAGCTCAAGTTCAGGTAAAAACATTGCCCCTAATTAAATGATCCCCCATTGTTGAATTTCTTTCAGATACTTGCCTAATTAGGCAATTCACTGGCTAGTGGGCTCCACAAGAACCTCAGGCCAGAAATTAAAACCGGCCCCCTGACACACTAGAATGGCTCGACCTCCTCTCGAAATCCGTCATCTTGTATTTCATAGTCTGTTAGTCGCTCATCATTCTAACTCTTTGCAGACAGTTGCACCTCTAAGTTTTTGCTGATTTGGGTTTCTCTCTCTGATGGGCAAAGTTTGTTTAGTTATACTTATAGTAACGTTCCACGTTCACGCAATTTTTGAGTCCTAAGGTTCTGAGGTTGATGTTTCAAATTAAAGATCAATAGCTTCACCACCCGTTTCTTAACACCTTCTAGTTTCACTGCCTTGATCCGAACAGTAATTTGTAATGGATGGATCCGAAGTTACATCATTGTAAAATATAGATATATATCGAGTCACCTTACTTCAGATACAAGTCGCCTCCCGACATTAGCAATGTTTTTGACGCTCCATATCTAATTAACAGTTACGACATCCTTGGAGTTGCAGCGTAGTTTGTGAATCATGAAATGGAAGGCTCTGCATTCTTGTTCTTGTATGGACTCTTTATTTACAGATCTCTAGAGTCAGAACGATTGATAGTCAATTATCACTATCCCCTCTAATTCTTAGGTCACTCCCCCGTTGTCTGATTTTTACCCGGGAAATGTTTCTTAAATTTTTTACACTTTCAATTTTCACTTTTGCCGATGTATCGAATCATATAGTTGCTGCCAAAGAAATCTGTTGCTGTCAAAAATGATAGAGGTTTCTGTGGGAGGTTCTGACGCTAAATTGATACCTCGTAAACGCTTGAAAAAATCATGAATCTATAAAGCCAAACTGTTTTGTATGTGAGTAACTTTATTTCCAATCAACAAAAGGAAAAGGAAGATAAAAACCTTTGCCATGGCAGGCAGAATTATCAATAGCCTTATAAGACAAGTTTTCGTGAAAATTAATCGCTACACCTATACCATCACAATATTAATCCTTTCTGATAATGGTGACATCAAAACATTTTGCTAACTGGCTACATTAAGTTTTTTTCTTGGCAAGTATGATCAGATTGTTTTGATGACATCAAGTTTAATCCCGCTGACGGGAGGATCTGGCAACAGACAGCAGACGGGCACCTTAAAACCTTGTATGTATTCTGTTCCAGGTCCTCGGTAAACCGGACTAAATTTAGTCAGTGCTGGTTGGTGTTAATTAGTGAGGGGCAGTGTATGTTTGCACCACCATCTCCCGGACAGTCTCCTCTCCCGGCCCGATACCTTACCAGTGTCATCCTCCGCAACCAGCCCGTACCCACCTCGTCACATTGGCAACTGTTGCCATGACGAATTATATACGGCCAGCTCTCACCCTACAAACCACGCAGCCCTGTTTAACTGTTTGAACCAATGGTTTACGAATTGGTACGGGATCTTTCTCATGCTGCATTCGCAACTTTCAGCTACTTTTAAACTCGTTGTATTTATGCTGGATATTGATCGGAATTATAATTGTTATCGTAAATAATGCGACAGCTGTTTGCCCGGACATTAAGCTACTTCAGTGCCTCTCCTCACACGTTGTCAATCGTCAACCCGTTTCAAGCTCGTTAGTTCCACTTTTATATTTGCGTTAGATACACAGTTACTTAACGTCTAACTTTAGACGGTCCCAGATTCCTGAAACTGGAACCCACATTTACTGGGCCCACTCCATGACAACTTACTCGGACGCTCACTTTTGCCTGCCCCGCTGGAAAGTCCGGCCCCGTTTAGGGGGTATATCGTTGTATTTTACATTGCTTCTGTTCGCTTATTTTTAAAACGCTTCCTCGTTACTCAGGTTTTAATTTTGTTGTGGTAATGTTTGCCTCCGTTTTGATATTATTCACGTATCGACTTTTTTGTTTTAAGTTCTAAAAATTATTGTTTCTAGCAAGAGTTTAATTGACAAAGCGTGGACCGTATCATTATGGGATCACTTGTGTAAGTACATCAATTAAATCAATTAAACCCAATTATTAAAGAGAGCCGTATTCATTATCAACATTATAATCTTAGTTCTACATCCATCATACAATACCCCATTACATATGACTAATTGGTAGCGTTAAATAGGTAGCCTTTACAATAATAATAATTATATCAATTAAGTAAAACCCTACGGTAAATTTGGAATCCTGGACTGAGAGTGAATTAAGAGGTGAAAATTGGTAGAGAAAAAACTGTGAAATACGAGTTGATAAAATGAGACGAGGATGGGCCTATAATTTGTTCAGAACGGAAAGGAAATGGAAAATTCGGTAGAATTTTCCAGTTTTTTTACACTGTCTTTGAAGGACGATGATTATACAACTAGTATTAATATTACAAACATAGGTATTCATTTGTTACGTTTGTGGTCACAGTAACGATTCATTACACACTGCACACATTGAATTTAAATCTACCATTTTCAATACGATTTTTAGTAAAGCTAAAGGCATTTACACCAGATTAACTTTAACTGTTTATCGGATAAGATCGATGAACATGTTTTAACGTTAACTTTTATTGTAAAAATCTAAAAGTAAATCTTATCACACTCAAAATATCGTTAAATTGTATTATCTCTACTTTTAAAAGATAACCAAACACGATTAGCTAACTTTATTTACTCAAAAAGTCGATAAATCTTTTTATCTCTAGATTTAAAAGACAACACAATACGATCAGCTCACTTTCTGATTTCTCGAAAGTCGTTTTAGATTTGCTTAAACGTTTAGTTAAAATTTCAGTTTTTCGGTCGTATATAAATCTTATGACGGCAAACTTGAATGTCACCCAGAGGAGTCTTATCCGCAAACTTTATAAAAAAACAAAAGGTATTATACGTTCTCATAACTCATAACTGAGTCTAATAAGAAAAATCAGAAATTTTGTTGAAAGAAACGCAAGATTGTAACACGACCATTGCTAAATATTGACCTCTAAAGTTAACGTCGTCCGTCCGGCAATAACAGTCGTACGAACAATTTTAGCGGAGGAGGAGGAGGTTGATGAGCGAATAATTCGAGATGTGTTCCTGGCACAATTTAGTCCGCCCAAGAGTTCTAGGGAGAGGAAACTCAGCAACTCTCTCTCCTTTGCTTTCTCTCTTAATAATGAAAAGGCACGTGTTCAGTCCCTACAGAACCTTAGAAATGCTGCTATCATGTGTTCTCGCAATGGGTTAGTCAGCCAAGCGCACATGGGACGGAACATTTAAGTTTGAATTTTAGTGCTACAGAAGAGTCTGGAAATTTGTAAAAATTCATGCAAACAAAATTGTTCACAATTGTACGAGAACTCGCTTTAAACTTACTGACCTACAAACTCACACTGACCTACAAACTTACAAACTTACAAACTGACAAACGAGGACTGTATCTCCTGACCATCACAACTAATCTTACCTTATTTCAGGGAGGAAAGAAGGGCAGTGAGCTTAGGATCACAAGCAAGCGCATTCGCCAGCCCCCGACCAGGAACGGACTTTATCGAACAGACCCATGACTTGGTAAGTTCAAATAGTAAGCCATTATTTTTCTTTGTTTTATGTTCTTCAATTGGAGCTATTACGTCTCCTGTTTCTGCTGCAGAATTTGTCCTTTTGTCGCCTCAAGTATCGGGTAAATTCCTGCATCCCAACGAATCAGCATGCCTTTTCAATCCTATGATGTCCACGTGTGAGGAATAATTTTCAAACTCAGTTTAAATTCTTTTAAAGCAATAATACTTATCAATCAATCATAGAAACTATGCATCATCGTTCATCGCAGAGTTTAACATACTGGAATCACTTAAAAGATCACACCGTCCGTAAGATACTGGCAGTATCTAGTGTGAACAACAATCCTCTCACTACCCATCACATACACTATTAATTAACCAATAATTAATATGGTTTCTCTCAGACTCAAATGTACTGATTAACCACACAGTCTGGGCTATCTCTGGAATTAATTCAGTATCGTGGTATTAAGGACAATGTTATCTTATGTGATCAGGTACCTACTGTCAGATCTCCATATTCTATAACAATTGTTATTTAGACCGATTTGAGATTAAATTAAATCTAAGTTAAGTTGAAATAGATTTTGTAGATTCACGGAAACCCATTTGGGCTTCAAAATACATGGAAATTTCTTCAGAGAAATGGTTGTCAATTAAACTTAAATATCTCGAGGGATCTATCGGATAGATATAGTATAACTATACCTTGTTGTAGACATAATAGATAATTCCGATAGTTATGTCATATATTACTTCTTTCGCGTTTTTATTTGACGCTTTCACCAAATGAAATTATCCATTCTGAGCTAGCCTGGCACAAACTTTGATGAATACAAGCAATAACGAACATACCGTTTAAAATTTATGGCAAAAAAACTGATAAGAAAAAGAAATGGGTAAATTACGGTTATTTTCTTAGAATTGAAATAAGCCGACAAGATAACTCTTATCGTAACGCAAAATCGACCATTTTACATTAACAGCGAGCATTAATAGGGTCAGTTTTCGTAACTTAAATAATCCTCTGTTTAGAATTAGTTCGCTTAATAATTGACCACATGAGTTTAAATATGGCCCAGCGTAGTTTTATTCGCAAACTTTACAAACAAGTTAACGGCTGCTATACATTGGTGTCTAATGAGTTTGCAGCTGCATACAATGCAGTGTGTCCGACCCAGTTGGAGGTTCGTGACATAGTTTCAGAGGGGGAGGAGACAGACAGAAAATCAAATACATCGTCTCCTGATCAGGTATATTGCTGAGCAATGCGATCATAAATGGCATTTGACGGACACACCCTGACGAAGCGATAAAAGCTAGGAATTTAACGTAATGTAAATACGATCATAGCTAGGGCCAGCAATAGCACACACACTACACCAAAATCTATATCATACTTTACACACAAAACTATTACACACGCCGTCAAATAGTACATTAACGCCTCCTCCACTATCACCATCTGCTCCACACCAGAAAGCGCGACAGCGCGGCTCCACTCTTCCACAAACCACCCACGTCCCTTACAGCGTTATTCGAGAGAGTATCATCCATTTCTACAAGTATTTTACCGAGTTTTTGTGTTATCGTCTCCTGCCACTTTAAATGTTACTACGCAGTAAAACACGACTTATATCAAACTCTTCTCCACAAAAAGCTACAGAAACCAGCCTTACTGAAGATTCCATTTCATTAAAGCCAGGAAATTCATGGCCTTCCCCAAAGCCTGAGAGTGCGGCCCCTACAAATTCGGCCACTGATATTTCGACTGGTGAAAGTTCGGCTTCTAAAAGGTTGGCCACTGAAAGTTTAAACACAGAAAGTTCCAGCGACTCGAGCCAAAACAAATCTACATGTGGCGATTCAGCGAGCGAAACGATCGCTCAGGGGGAAGCCGGGAAAATTATCGGGAAAATGACAAAGAATGATCTTGAGGGATTAGTTGTCAGATTATGCGGCGAAGTTAAACGTCTTCAAAAGGTCCTTCGTCACTAAGCTTTCAACATATTTGCTATTTTAAGCAGCCTGCTCTAATTATCTGTTACTTTACCGTTATTTCCTTTTCCCTGATTTAGAGAATTGAGCCTCTTTTTCAATCTGTTGGAAAATCAGATTATTTTTTGCGGAAAATAAGTTTCGTTTAAGATTATTATTAAATGCTACCCAATGTTTCAGAATTCACCAGCTAACTTGGAGATCCTGAAGCTAGACAACGTGGAGAGCTATTTCAGCAGCATATTTCCCGAACCAGAGGCGAAACCCCTGACCTCTTCTGAATGGAACTCTGCCTATTCTCAAGGCCGGCCCTTTATGCCTCTTCCTGCCGCTGCTGGTCAGTATTTTCAGTTTTCTTTTATTCTTTTGACCTCTAACCTGTTATCTTTAATTAGATTGTCATCGTGATCAAGTGACAATATATTTTGGAGGAAAATTAAGTCGTAGCAGAAGCAGTGATCAGTCTAACTGCACAATGATCTTTACTGGTCACCAAATCTTATTATTTATCTTGAAACACACTGCTGTGATTTTATTCTTTTTCACCACGACTGTAACCTGGGCTAAGTTAATTTAAAGATAATGCGAGCCCATGTCAAACCCCTAATTGTGACTTGTTACAATACTTAATGTTACAATTCTTCAGCAGTATTGTTCATCTAATCCAATCCATTACCAGTACCTCAAATTTAAAAAACGATTAGGGTTTAAAAGTGGTATTGTAGATAAGGAAACTTGTTAATAGCCCGATACTCAGATGACCCATATTTAGCCAACACTTTAAAGCCGTGATCAATCATCAAGCCGTGCACGGAAGGGAGACAATTACAACCCGATTTATCAGTTATAACAGGCTATATTGGTACGTTAACTGTTGCACGTGGGCGTTATCACGCTCTAATTCCCACTCCTCTGACAATGTTAAGATCACTGGAATGTCCGACTGCATCTGTTTTGACGCCCAAAATTATCTGGCGATCTAAACCGGTTAGTAAGTAAGTATACTAGTAACTCACTAGAGCTGTTATTGACAAGGTTTTACTTCAGGGAGGGTTTCTAACACGAGCATTCCGACTGTAAGAGCGTGCAGTGACCCAGCTTGGATTACCCCCTTCAGTGCCGCCCCTATGACAGGTAATGTCTACTAATTATCTACTAATTATTGGAATACTAAATCACATTTATCTTAAAAGTCTATCTACACGTGAATCTGAACGTTATTTGGTGAACTAATATTGTCTTTTTTTGCCACATTAATTAACGGTAACCATTACAGCAAGTCCGGACCCGTGGACGCTGTCCCCGAGCAGTTCTAAACAAGGATACTCACTGTCTCCACCCACCACCAACAGTCAGACCAAGGAGGACGTTACAATGGACAGATCTGTATCCAGCACCACCTTCATTGGGGAGGATGTCAAGGATAGCAGGTTAGAACAAGTTATAACACTTGGTGGGTTTTAGGGAGGGTAGTATTTTGGTATCTTGTATATGGTGGAGATCTGGGGAGATTGGGGTATGTTAGATATTCGTACATACTGAGTACCAAAACTGAGACGTTAGGTTATTCCTAATTGGTGCTCATCGAGTGCGAGGCAATTATACCCGGACAACGACTCATCATCACCCAGCTGTCCGGCACAAGCTTATCTAACATTATTTTATATATTTGGTACATCAGAACCCATGCACTGCAATGATGTGTAAGTGTCGAGTAGGTGTAAGGTCCAACACTACCACGTTCAGATCTTGGCACTCTGCCAAGTGTGCAGTTCCGCGTTAATGATGGATAACTCGGGTGGTTTGGCGATGAAAGGGCCTCTTACACGAGGTCAGATATTCAATAATATGTGTCGAGGGAGCTTACTGACCTGTGCTGTCCTCAGGTACGAAGTGATCACGACTCCCTACTACCCCTACAGTGTTACCTCGACCTCAGTAGCCGCCTCGTACCCTCCCTTCTCTCCCTACACCTGCCCCTCAAAGTCCAGCTTCTACCAAGGTGAGCCATCTCGTCTTGTTATGTTTTTAACTGGAAACAGGCCGGATTGTGACTGCTCATTTGTTTTAAACACTTTTAAATGTTAATTGTGCACGCGCGTGTGATGGAGAATTCGTGAGCTCTCATCGCTGGTTATATGACATGACATAAGCGTCAACCTCAGTGGATTGTTTAGCAGAGTACTACTTCCCATCAGCTCTTCTGTTTAAACTCCAACTTTCAAACTTCTTAGTTTCCCTGGGCTTTATGGTTTCATTATGTCGAAATGTTGGTCGAATAATCCGTGAAACGGGGATTATTAGCCCAGCACTGAGACGTGTGACCTGTCTTGTACAAAGTTACAAACCACACGCCTTTCTAAATATGTCTACACTGCGCTTAACTATGCTTTAGAATTAGATGCAACCATCCGGAACTATACTGGTACCAAGTGAGCAAGGGATATATTTATCATGCCTGATCCATTTGACCCTTCTCGCGCACGGAGGGAAACAATTGTTTTGATTTAACAATTTGGTGATGCTGTACTCATAACGCCTCTTCCTCAGACCGCTCGAAAGAGTGTTATCAGTGCAGCGCCAGTGCGTACACCACCACCCTTTACAAAACCAGCGGAGGGAGGAGCCTGTGTGAGAACTGTTCCCAGTATGCTGTCCAGAGTCCGGCTACTAGAACCAGCAAGAATACCAAGAGGAGAATGGTGAGTCAAAATTAAACTTAGGACCTGTACTGTAATACGTCTTCTTACCTTGTACCAAACTGATATCTGTCCTGTAAGATATTATTGGTTTTTAGGGACTAGGGAGTCCTTTGGTGGTCAAGTTTGGGAGTAGCCTGTCTCAGATCATGATGGTTATTTTCAAGGGCTTTTTGGGATGCACTAGAAGATAATGACTCTAAGCTTTCATTCTCGTTAAAATCTTGTTTGAACTGTTTCAGTGTTTCAACAGTTAATCTCACAGAATTCATGCTTTACGTAAATGTACGCTAGAATATAGATTTTTTTTTCGGTGAAAGGTAATAGGAAACTGCTACAATTTCGGAATCATTTTTCAGCAATTTTATTATGCTGGGAAATTCATTTTTCTCAGCGCCATTCATGTCATTAGTCCAAATATTTCGAATAATAAATGTCATTGTTTAAATGGAAACATTCCTGCTTCCCTATTAAACTTTCCCTAATCATGTTACCCTAAGAGATAAGAAAATGGCCAATGAGAAACTCTGAAAATGGACAATGACCATCTGCTTCACAACAGATGAACTTTTGAATTAAGTGCGGGCAGCGAATCCCAGGGTTTCATTCAACTGGACTGCTCGGGTTTTTTGTTGGGATAATCGAATTTGCATGTTATTTTAGTATTAAAATCTGGTAATTTGATCATATGTAAGCGTGATCAAGTGTAGGGGACTATGAGTCACGCTAATGCCTGGAGCGCTCTCATTGGTCACAATTCTAATTTTATTTTGAAGGAGAAAAATCAAAAAACAGCTGCGCTCTAAATTTCATCAGTTTTTGGTCCAACAAGGAAGTTGAGGTCTAAAAATACTTGACTTTGTGGGAAAATTACGAGAAACGTCATACTGACTATGATATTCTAACCTTTTAAGTCAAAAATAGAAACTTAAACATTGCCAAATGCTTGCGGAGTATTTCCTTATCAAAATGCCAATATTCTTGGCAAAATCTTAATGGACGGCGATTGATTAAATCTGATGCCAAATTTTCACAACTTCCTTTCCTTAAATGAGTATGGGAAATCTCTTCTGTCGCCAGCTAACAAACTTTGATAAAGAAACCATTATCAATTACGAATGGGACACCTTATCTATTTAAAGTAGCTACAATTATTTCACCTCACCACAGACCTAATTCAGTATTCTAGCATGGTTCCTATCTCATCACGTGTTGAGGATTATCTATTGACTGTGAATCCTCTCGGTCGTGAAATTTCCAATCTTCAAATTTAAATACGCCATAATCTCCTTTTACTTGCACAAAAAACCAAATTTTTCCATTTAAGTGGTCTTTGACCCGTAATCTAATTCTACTTAAATTTATATTTTAATTCAACAATATACGGTTTATTTTTGCTATCTTTTCAAAGATTACGAATAATGCTAATTTGAATAGGTTCACTGTCTAACTTTTGGTATTTGCTTTTGAAGATCACGTGAATTAATATTATCTTTCTGGTCATTAAGTAAGTAAGCTGTGTGAGATTAAAAACGAAAAAGCATTAAATGCAAAAAATAAGTCTTATCCCTAACAATCACTAAACCACCCTGTCAAGTGCCAATTTAGAGGTATGCAACCACAGTACAGTTCATGCTTCTGTTTACAACATACGACATAGGAATGGAGATAAAATCAGAAGACATTATCTTGTTCCGGTAATTATAGAAGCTCCTGTTATGGCTCAAGTTTAAACTTATTCTCGCACGCGCTCTATTTTATCTCCGGATACCGCATAATTTTCGAATGCTGATAAACAATGGATGGAAGAGTGAAATTGATTATCAACTCGTTTATTAAATTTTAAGTGTCAGATAAAAAGCTTGTTGCTTGTCCTCGACAAGCATTCCATTTGACATATTGTTAGCTTGTGCCCGTTGTTTTATCTTGCAAATATGTGCGATGTCCTTTGTCCTCCACCACTGATAATCACATCGTATAACATAGTGAAAGACAAAGGTCAATAGCTGGGAGCTGTGTTAAGGTTTCCACAAACACTATCGGCACTCAGTTGCGAGCACTACCTCTCCGCACAGTGTGAGTTACCTCCCCACACTCGGCGGCACTTTGTCGGGTCCGTCCTCCCCCCTCCTCTCTGACAGACGTATACCAACTTTTTGGCACATGGAAAATTCCCCTCCATGATTGGAAACCGGACAAGTTACGCGGCTAAGATCGGCAGTGATCTATCAACACCCGTCACAGCGCTTAATGGTGGAGGAGAGGCTGGCCAATGGGGAGGCAGTGTTCAGGTCACGTGATCCTTCTCACAGGCCACGTGACGTTGAAGCGCCAATTGGCGGGCAGGGTGAGTTTGTTGGCGTGTTCTGAGCTCTAACTATGATAGACTCTGGCTGTAAACTGCATCGATCATTGTCAGCATTGCAAACTCCCCCACCAAATTGTCACATTTCAACAATATTAATATTTTGTGTGAGTGATGGCGGTGGAGAGTTGTAGGTGCTAATTTGGGGCCCCTGTCACGGGCACCCTGATGGCATACAACTACATAACGAGATAAACTGATTTACCAGCTCGAATCCATTTCCTCCTCCACAAACACAGGACCTTATTGTAGCACCTTTAAAGGAGAGGGACAATTAAGAGGCATTGTTCCAGCCTGTCTCATTATCATTACATAATGGGTTGAACTTAATGACCTATCGGAGTGAGCTATGTTGTGGTTCGTCAAATTCAATATTTGATATTGAAAGTGGATAATTTTGTAATATTACCTGTTATTCCTCCGCCGTCATTTGACAGCCTCAGATTTATTTAACCTGATTTGTCATCGCTTGGTGAAGTAAGTAACGGTGACTTCAAAACCGGTCATGAAAAATAAATGGATTCTGAAGTCACGTCCCTCTTTCTAGAAATTGACGTCAAAACTTGCCTCGATGGGCTAAAAGCAGACATTGCGCCACTAGTCAGGTGTGATTGTCATGATGAGGCTGAAGTGCCATCTGAAGTCATGTTGTACCAAAAGTTGCTCATTCAGGGGTAAAGTAAAATAGGGTAAATTACTTTAACTTCACGGGAGATGAAGATATGCAGATTCACGAGAGTGTTCAACCTGTTCCATTTCGGCCACCTTACGTTTTGAAACAGCGTCGTATCTTTTGAGTCTAGCCAGATGGATTGATCTTGATTTCCTCGTGCTAAGATCAGATCTTATCTGAGAGTAAACTTGTTAAGCAGTTGGTAAGCTGGTTTTCCATCCTCAACCCTCCCCCAACTAGTTAACAGAGGCTCATTTAGAGGATATTACTTATTAGTTAATCGTCACCAGATTATTAGTTAATCGTCACCAGATCAATCGTTATTGTCCGATTTGTTTGTCGGTCGTTCTTAAAGGAACGTAGACGGATCATCTTGTCACATCACCAGCTCATGGCTAAAAGTACTTACTTAGTCCCTATCAGTACTGACCTACTGGGTAAGTACTGATAGGGACTAAGTAATACCAAGTCCCTATCAGTACTTACCCTGTCCCTATCAGTACTTACCCTGTCCCTATCAGTACTTACCCTGTCCCTATCAGTTCTTAACAGAAGTATCATCTGTTGACTGTTGTGAGACATTGACAGTGCCAGGGGGCAGTCTCCTCCCATTATTCATGGCCACGTGTGAACACACCATGTGCATGAGGAGAGGCAGTACCGTGCTCCTACTTCATTACCAGCCCCGACCCCTAACTCGGTTACCTTCCTTGCACATGTTTCACCAAAAACTGCTCCACTCCGGCCTCCCTGGCCAGCCAATCAGAGACAAGTACACGGTCACGTGACTTCCCGGGAACCAGTAGTAGTGCAGGTCTATTAGATCATCCCACTGATAAGGAACTCTGTCAAACAAAAAGTGAATTAGGGTTTTAAATTACGGTTTTTCACACACACACACCGCGTATAGAGGGAGAGGGCTTATCACGGCGTGGCACAGCAGGGCAAGTCAGATCCTCGGGATCGAGCGCGGCCTGTAATTAGGCACACGTGCCGCGGGGGATAGCACCTTTCAAAAACAGTTGCGACGAATTATGACACTTGTGATTGGGAAGGGTGATAAGTCGGTATCTGCAGGATTAGAACAATGATCTACTGATTTTCAGTATCAGTAGGTTGAACAATGGAGTTAGTTTCTGATTCCGGGAAATTGTGAAAAGATATATATTTTGGGGGATGTTGTTGAAGTTTCGCTTCACGCGATATGTTGATTTTAGTGAGGTTATAGCTAAAAATAAGGACTAGATCGTAGCACCTGTGTCTGGGGTTGAGAAAGACACATGACAACACCCCACACCGTGGTACACAGCACGAGCGTGGGGACAGGACCCGGAACTGCAGGAGCGGGGAATGTTGTCTTCTTTACCCGGCATGTTCACATGTCTACTATTATAGTGTTCTCTTGGGATCAGCCATTCAGCCAACCAATATATTTATACATGTTCATTTTTTTAAGTGCTGCACATAATAATTTTACAAGACGGGGCGGTGATCCCAAGACTACATGAACTTGCCGTCTTATCTTACCTGGATTAGTACTGGCTTCCGAGATTCAAATTATCCTCTGAAAGGTCTTCCTCCCCGCAAATTATCTTGCCCTGATTATAATACTTTTTGCAAACATAATTTACTCTCTTCATGAGTTATGAGGCCGGTAATTATTCGATGAATCATTAACCATAACTTCATTTTAAACAAAAATCGGTCACACCCAGCCCTGGTCCTCCCTTATCAGCTGCAATCGCCGTTCATTCGGTTACCACTTCAATTAAACGATTACCTCGTTAAATGGAGGGGATGAATCTCAGATTGAAGGGAACTGATGAGTTGACTAATCCGGGCACCCCGCCCCTGTGGCTCAATGAGTTACTGCGGGGGCTCATCGTTTGTCACATACTTGTGGGAGGAGTGAATTGTACTTAGCACGAACAAGCTCTAATTGGTGGTTGTTTTTGTGGCAGGAGGCAAATCCTTTGGTTAGAGTTATAGGGTACCATGACAACTAGGGTACCATGACAACTAGACCGGTATCGTACCGTGCCAGAAGTAGACCTCTTACCCGTCTAGACCACATTTAAATCATGTTTAAAATCGATCAGGTTCAAAACTTTGTGATAGCTTTGATAGAGGAGTTTTCAAGATTATTGACCATGTGATTTATTTCAGGCGGGCAGCAACAAGCGACAAGGCACGTCATGTAACAATTGTGGAACTCAGAAAACAACACTCTGGAGGAGGGACGCTACCGGACAAGCTGTCTGCAACGCCTGCGGATTGTACTACAAACTTCATCAGGTACTGAATAGGACTCTTTATTACATCTTTGGCCTGGTAGTGGTAGTGGTGAATCGAAACTTCGAAAAACTTAAAATTTAAAAATCAGTAATTCCAACTTGGCACTTTCACCTACGTTTTGAATCCACAACATTTTCCTAAAAATCCTTTTATCTTCAGCAAAACCGACCACCCAACATGAAGAAAGACACCATCCAGAGCCGGAACAGGAAACCTGGCAGGAAGAACACAAAGAAGAAGGTTGAGTTGGATCAGATGACGGGAGCTGGAGTACCAGGGGCTCGGTATCCAGATCACATGATCTCACTTCAGCAACAGCTGCCTAGTCACATGTTGCATCCTGGCCAGGTTAGTTCAGGAACTGAGATTACCTTATTTGGAACTTTTTAACATCCACGCCGGGACTTATGTGAAACTTCAACTTCCCACTTCTGAAATAATTTAATTTATAATAGCACAGAACTAACACAATTTCTCACCAGATATTGCCGGGCAAGCATGAAGACATGATGACCTCACTGTACTCGCCGACCCTGATCAAGCAGGAGCAGCAGTACGCGTACAGCATGAGTGCTCACCACATGATGCCTCCTCCCCCCGCTCTGTCTCCTCTGACACTCGAGAGCTCGCACTCCTTATCCCAGCACTCGATATCTCCGCACTCCATCACTCCTAACACCACCCTCAATACGCTCTCACCCGACACTCCTTCCAAGGATCCTGTTGAGCAGCTCGGTTAGTTGAAACATATCTTTTTATCTCCTCTAATTTTACCAATTTGAATTCTGTTATCAATAAAATTGAGACTTTTTAGAAAAAATAATTTTACTAATAATTAAATTTATAAGTGTTGACAAATCTACTTATTTCAGGGTTTCTGAATCAAAGCAGATGATAAATAAGTCCATCACAGGATATATTCGTCATCACGGCCATTAACGAACCTAATCGAGAGGAGTTCCCAGTTATTGTCGCTCGAAAAGAAACATATTTGTTGGCATATAAACGTTTTGAGAGGTCACCTAAATTAGTTCGCACATTATTTATACATTACGGAATGTTCACATCCGGAAACCTCACATCCATTTAGTCAGGCCAAGGTTTGAAGTATAGGATTTGCAGATTTGGACTGATACGTTGGTCAGGTGAAACACTTCCGTTCTCGTGTTTAGCCTACCCATCAGTAGCGACCATCATTCCTCGTTATCGGATGAATGATCGTGGTAGTTGGTATTTATGTTGTTTTGCGACACAGCAGAATGGCTCAGAGCATGTTTAACTTAAACAGTAGTGGTGCACAATATTTTGGTTCAGATTTATTTGTTTTTTTTCAAAGATACGCCAGCATATGGTCCAGTAATACTGGAGTGATTTGGACTATCAATCTTCTATCATCATTCTTATAACAATAGTTTGACAATCAGCTGTGGAGATAAAAAAGCAAATCAGAGTTAATATTCGTTTCAGCGGTTTTAAATTTCAATCGAGTTTTTACCGTTCAAAAATGTTATTGACTCTGGGGCGTTTTAAAAGTTTGATTTCGTGTGGTGTCCGTTTTGTTATCATTTGAATTTACGATGTCTTGAGAAAGGTTCTATTATGATTATAGTTACCCTATGAGAGACCTGACCAATCACCAAGTTACTAATTAAAACATTTATTACTATTTAACTTGATAAGGCTAACTTATTTAATTTTCATTAACTTATGTATGACTGAATTTATTCAGCAAATTTTGCCCACTGGACACGGTTTAATGTTCGAATGACGAGTTTTGTTCTGCTGCTGCTTGCAAAGTAGCTCATATTTGAGAAAAATTTGTGTTACTGTCGAACACAATTTAATGTTATCATTTTAAGGGTCATCTCAATTTCTGCTCCACATTTTCTTCAAGTTTAGGCTTATCACCTTTCTGTAGATGTTCCATATTTAATTCTTAGCTTCCTATTGAATCTTATACGTTTGCAATAGCCAGGATATGACGAAAGCTTTTGTTTTCATAAAAAGTTTGGGAGATTTTCTATTGTTAATATTATTGAAGCCATTGTATACCCTTTGTAAAACCATGGTGTGAGTGTTTTTGATCGTAAAAAATGTTTTGTTAAATTGTTTGAAAATAAGATTCTTCATGTTTTTAAATCGAAGACAAGTTTTCGATTTTCGTGTAATTTGAGATGCCCATTGTGTCTGATATTCATTGGACCCTTTTCCATTTTAAATATATTTTGGGATCCAAAACTGTTCGCAAATTCGTTCAAACAAGGGCACTGAAATAGATGATTAGATCGGTTTAAAATTCAATAACCGAAAATAATGGATATTGGACATCTTGATTTACATGGAAAGCTAAGGTTGCTCTTGATTGAGTGTGTTATCAACGTTTTGGAGTGAAATTATTTTATAAACAATGTTCATAACTTATAAAAGCACTGTTCATAAACTGTGAATGTTTGGTTATGATATTTACTATTTTGATTGATCCATGTATTGGGCGTAATGATACGCCACTGTGTGTTCTCAAGTGTTAAAGATGTTTTATAAATTGGTGTTCATATGAGTTTATAATAATACGAAGTATCGTAAAAGCAAAATACTGGTTTTTTAATTATTAATGATTGCACTTGAAATAAAATAAGTTAATGCACCGAGGTGAAATATTTACGAGTATGTCACTACACCTCTCATCTACACCAAATAACTCCTTACCTAGCAGATGATCCACTAGAATTTCAATTGAAGGTTTCATAAAATTGGATTGATGAACTCGCAGTCAGTGTTCAGTACAATTGTAGCGTCCAATGTCGCTCCTACTAGTACTAAATCGCTCGCCTAAATTTTAAGAAAATTCTTGTGAAAAGGCCCTTTGGGTATGAAATTGAACCAATTCGGTGTATTTTGGACGCTGATTCCGAATCACCCCCCATGACGTAGGGTAAAAATGCTTCCCTGGAGAGTTATGGGCAAAAAACCGTTTTGGTCACTTGACAGGCTAGTAAAACGTAAATTCGATCGTTTAGGGCTCGGGTTAAGGTTAGGGTCGTGGTATTGGTAAGGGTTATGGATAGCTTCGGGGTTATGGTTAGGGTTAGGGTTTATGTAATTGTAAAACCGTTTTGTACGGCTGCAAAACCATAAAAACCAAAGTCACGTGAAATTTTTGGGCGAGCGAATTAGTAAGGCCGTCCAATGTACGCTGTAATGGAGACTTGTCAGTCTAATTCTATTGGACATAATACTAATAGTAATAGTGTCGCTAATGCATTACCGAATGATTTCTTAAACTTAGGGTCCCAGTACTGAAAGTGAATCGTTGTTAATGTTAAAAATCTCATCCTAACATTTTTTGGCTGAAACCTTATTCCAGCGTGAGGTTAAAATTAAATAATAAATAAGGTTACATAACAAGTATGTTCGACGATCGCACATTCGACTTCCAACGACGAGGAATATCATTACAATTACATCATGGTACCACTACCAAGTTAGTAATATTAAAGAGTAGCTCTTTGAATTTTATTTGTACGAATTAACTTAGTAAATATAGAGAACCGTTAAGGAACATTTGTCAAGTTACCTCATGGGGGCCGCCCAGTAATTAAATTGTCAAGGTGCAATATCAAATACCAAGCTATATTGTATATTTTACTACCAGTACCACGCAGTTTACTCAACTCGTGAGCTGCATTTTAATATTTGCCATGACACGACTTGCCATGAAGATCAAAGGATCCTCAGCTGAAACACTTTACAACTTACTAAAAACTTGACATTGTAAACACGTTCTCCAGAGTCTGGACGAAATGGACAAAATCTGTTCAGGTCACGAATATATTGCCGTTACGTCAGCCTTGTTGCACAATCAAAGATTGGCCGGGAAAAGAATTCTACAGTAGTCGAGCAGGTGAGGTCGGGTGCAACGCAAAAGTGGTTACGTAGGATCATTGTCAAGGTTTGGTTGGGCTTATGCTTGGGGTTGGGTTTTGGATACGGGTAGGCCGTAGGGTCAAGAGTTTCGCTACCACCATTTCGTGCGATTAGACTACTTTAAATCCTTTAAGTTACTGGACAATTTTTCTATGAATTATTTGACTAAGAGGCCAGGCCTAGCTGGTTAGTGAGTTGTATTTATGATGTTATTTGTCTAAACTAAAAGCAACGCAGCGCTTTAAATACTATAACTGGTAGATTTTAAGACTAAATCATTCGTTACTTAAAGTTTTAGATTTTATTTTTAAAGTGACGTCATAAAAATTGAGTATATAGGAAGGTTACGATCTGTGGTTGAATTAGTTCCGGTCAGCCTTGAATAGCAAAGCACGTTAGTTTTTCTATAAAGGTTGCTTGGTCAGTGTACCTTTTCCTCCTACTAGGAGTACTGAAAGTGAAAGCTGGTATACCCTGTATCAAGTATCAACTACTTCTCAATTGGGAGACAAGTCTGTGTGCTTCTCTCAGTCAATTGACTTGATGAAATGTGAGTAAATCATCGACCCTTATTGCTTATTTTGTACTTTTTTTGCATGTGCATGAAAAGTGTGAAACATTTGATAAACTGACGTATTTGGTTTCAAGAATTCCCAGCAATCTGACGTGCTGCTTATTTATTTACTTATTATTAGCTACATATTTCGCTACTACCATTTAACTCTAATCAAGATGGTAACACCGTGGTTTTCAGGGTATCACTACAATTTATAATGTTTACATTTTGCGTGTTCAGTGCACTAGCAACTTCAGTACGTCTAGGCAAATCAGTGAGGTACTGGAATGGTTTCATCAGTACAGGTATGAACTATAAAATGCAATACTGATGCTGTCTCATTGTAATTATATAATTTTCACTGAGTCGACTCACGCCAAAAATCGAGTCACAAAGATTTATGAATACTTGCCAATTCAGTCTTTAAAAGTCTTTAACTGTAACTTTAAGCAGCTAGTTAATTTTCTCAGATCAAAGTCCGATGTTTGGAGGCACATCGAGGCGGACACTCAACGAACTGCATGGAGATGAAAATATTGACAAAATGTTGACTTTGAGCAAGAAGCCGAAGGTATTTGAATTGTTCAATACATATTGATATTGGGCGGCGCTCAGCCTGTCATTCCGCCAAATCTCTATGAAAATTATCATATATAATATATATTAATATATATATATATATATAATATATATATATAATACATATATATATAATATAATATAGTATATATATATATATAGTATATAGTATATGTATATATACATAATTTTGACCAAAACCCATAATCATGGGTAGAGTGGACCGATGCCAGTGTCTCTCTTTCCGAAACAAAAGGAAACGATATTAATTTGATTGACCGTTCTCAAATTCAAAATGATACCGAGAATGAAATCGGTCGCTCGCTTTTCCCATTCATTCACGGCTTACGAATTGTAATAAGTTTCGATTAATTACATCACTTATTATATCATTTCCTTTTGTAATTTTACAGGGTACTTTATAAAGTCGAAATATAAACTGATATCTTCATTAATAAGGAGGAAGTTTCAACGATTTCGAAATTTTTCCTTTAAAAATATTTCCTTGTGTTTAGGTAAGCATATCGGTCGATCACTGACTGAATATGCCACTTTATACTCATTCAAGTTGGCATTAAATTAATATATAATGACATTGAACTGTCGTGACAAAGCAGAATTTGTTCGAAATCACGAATGAGCAAAATTCTCACCTTTCGCACGTGCAAACTTTGAGCGGACGTTGCGTGCGCATCTAATATTGAATTGACGTAAATTTTTGCATGTTGGTGTTTTATATATATTTTGATAAGCATGCAAAGTTTCAAAGTATTTCAAGAAGAACTGTAATCACAAAGGCACTCCAAAATTGACAGAAAATGGTGAAAACAGCAATTTTCAGTGATTTTAGCAATATTGAATCACCTTAAATTTTTGCATAGTGGTATGTTATATATACTTAATTGATAAGCATGTAAAGTTTCAAAAGAGTTCAAAAAGAACTTGGATCACAACAAGACTCCAAAGTTGATAAAAATCGTTAAAATAGCAATTTTCAGCGATTTCAGCGATTTTAGCAATTTTCTATGATTTTGGGCGTGTAACTTTTTTATTTTTAACTTTAAAACTAGCCTATGACACAATTGAGACCTTAAGGAAGCAAAATTGAGCTCCACAATCCAAGGAATGGCCCAACACCAGAGAATACTATATCGTAAAATTAGCGTTTTTATTAAATTATTCTTCAATAAAGCACTAACTTCAATAGCGAATATCTTTATGAAGGAGCAAGGTAGTAAAACTTTCCGGTCGATTTTCAGAATGCTTGCACAATTATCAATTATCCAACCTAAAATTTGCTCAGATTTTGAATAAAATTACTCCTTAATGGTGTAAAATCGATTTAAAAAAATTATTACTTTGTCAAAAATCAAGTTTTCAAAAAGGTTAACTTGATGACGTCATCAAGGGGTGTTAATGACGTCAAATAACTTTTGTATACAGTGTAAACTAAAGTGTAAACAATTATCTTTAAGACCAGTGGTAAGAAATGGCTGTATCTTTTATACTTTGGAATTTACGGGCACTTAATATAAATACCGGCTACAATTGACTGGCAAAGCGTCTATCCCTGAATATATATATCAGGGCAATCTGTCGTAAAACATGAAACAGGGGTTCCCTGTTCCAGAAAACGCTTTTCCCGATACTCCTGAAACTTGAAACTTTTTTCCCCGTCAATTTTGTCAACATCTAGACGCCCAGATCTCTAACTCAATTCTAAGGCTCCTGAATATGGCGATTTTGGGTTTTTACCGAATTTCGTATAACATGCTGGCGCGTATTTTGCGCAAATTTCTGAAAAACCTCCACATAACTATTTCATATTTCTTATTCCTGTCATCTTTGACATTGAATTAGAATTTTGAACTTAAATTATGCCTGCTGGACTACTTTCGATGAGTCTTAATGCCTGAAATAAATAAACAATAAAGGGTTATAATAGTAAAGGGGGTATAATTATAGTAAAGGGGGTAAATTAAAATAGTAAAGGGGGTAAATAATAAAGGGGGTAAATAGTAAAGGGGGTAAATAGTAAAACTAAAGGGGGTAAATAGTATATTGTGAATATAAGAGGCACGGTCATGCTTGCCAGCATTGTGATAGCTTGGGGTCTCGATCACGTGATATGACCATAAAAGGAAGTTGGTCTAATTTATCGTTAGGGTTAGGGTTTCGACATTCGCTTTTGTTAGTAATAGTGATCAGTGATTGAGTTAGGGTTAGGGTTGGAATCAGATTAGACTTAGAGGGTTAGGGTTCCAAATAATCATTCAGGGCCACTTGGAGAACGGATTTTTTAAAGTCACGTGACAGTCGAGTGTAGCAGTAGAGTGATTAATCATCATCCATTAATAATAGTAACCTTCTCTCCCGCAGGACCCAGAGAAGAGACTCAAAATTCAAAGGGTTATGAAACGAGGAATGCCCTCACGCTGTCTCGGCACAAAGCGCGAGCGCTGGTGTAATTGCAAACGTCGTAAGACTAAGAGTAATGAACGACGATGCCGCGATGAGGACCAAACATAAATT